AAGATTGTATTTGTTTCAGTAAGTTATGATTTTCAGCCTATGCTCTACTGGGGTTAACAGAGGTAAGTAGTAGTAATAAGTAGGTTATGATTGTATGTATTGTAACACTGTGAATGCGAACAGACGATATTTATTTTCATTATATTTCGACTTAGGTTATGTATTTCGAATACAATTGTGAACTACATGTACTTAACAATTTATCGTTACTTGTGTGATTTCAAAAGGTTTCCAGAATTTTTCTCCACTTCACAAACACTTTTGAGGTTCCAAAATATACTTTGAATTCATGGTGAACAATGTTAGCTTACTCAATGATCGGCCAGGATCGTTTTTCACAGATTTTTTTGAACTCAATAGTAATCATTCCACAAGTTCCTTTTTTTTCAAACTAGAAGCAAGGTTTAAAATAACCAATATTTATTTGGAATAGAATATCGTATCAAACAAGTACGAACTCACTAAATTCAAATCAGTCTTTAGACCAAAGAAACGATCTGCTATGCTAGTAAAAGAATTCAAATGAACCTTTAAGCGATAAAAATTTCTGAATGAAGTGTTTGACTAGATTATCAGACTACCTGTCACCTCAAGAGCTGAAATATCCAATGTTGTATTAATGAGTTATGCTGATTGTAATAAACATCTACAGATTAGTTAGGGATATTTTCCAATCCTATGAATCAAAATGTGTCATGTTCTAATTAGAAACTTAGATAGTTAAAAGTAAATTCATCTAAACACTGCTCTTCTTCTTGGATTTCTCAAGCATATCAAGACTGTAGGTACATGAAAGTATGAAACAGGACCAACAATTATTATTGGTGGTTACCTCCACATGTTAGAATTATGTTGTATTATTTTCCATCCTAACCTTTGAAAATAAGCCTGTAGAGTTACAGAGAAATCAGAACATTTTCAAATGATTAAAATGCTATTTATTTACAGTAATAGACTTTTCATAAAAAGAATATTTTTTAAGTGCTGCATTCGTAGAAAATAAAAAACAGAGTCATTAAAATAAATCCAACCGCCAGTAAATATGATATGAAGCAAATAAGATTTCCTATCCAATTCCATTAATTCTCTTTTTTTGATTTGTATTTATAGTAGATGAAATTTTATTTGATCGATGTGCTTTAAATTCAGCAAGTTTCACTAACCACGCATCCCATACAGATGAATCTGATTTATCCAGCTGTGTATTCACAAAAACAATAGTCGAAAATTACTTTGTGATTAGGATATTGCTACATAAATCAAATATAATAATGTAAATATTATGGAAAGAACATTATAAAAAAGTTCTACAGGTAATTATTAGATGATCAGTAGCTCACTAATTAAGGCGTTTAACTTTTAGCTACTAAATTTCATGTTCGAACCCTGCCTCAGTCATTTTGGTTTAAAATACCAAGTAGTATCACTAGCTATCATATATAGCGTGGAACGACGACAAGTACACGAATCTGTACTGGGTAAATGAGTGAATGAACTGATCTCAGGAATAATTAACACGATGAGGTATGTATTATATATATATATATACCTATCGTGATGACGCGACCGAGCTATATTGGTTGGAACATATGTTCTTGTAGGTTCTACCATGTCAAAGAGGTTAGTCAGAGAACAGCAAGACTAAAAGCAGTAACTTGTGATTTGAGGGCCAAGTCCTACCGCTGACTATTGAGGGATGTGACATCAATAAGGTAATTCCTTCGGAAAACCAGTATCTCTTACCTCCATGATTAATCATTCACATACACCTTTATCACCTTGTGCCACTGATGCAAACGTTTCGAGTTCACGAAAATCTATTGCTGGCCACCTGAAACCCCGTTCTAAACAACATGTTGGAGCTTTCAGTGCTAGAATCTAATGCAATATAAGTAAACAGGCTTGTTTAGGAAGGACTCTAAGAAATCGTACCACCGATGAATACTGCCTCTCCAAAACGTGCATACAGGATCCAAATAGTGATTAAATTGACTTCACCTTGTCCAAATAAATAACCGACTCGGTTTAGATTCTGTGTATCTGGAAACCCTGCTTCTGATGATGTTGGTTTAGCGTTAATTTCTAATGCAGAACTAGCTCTCTTAGACTGGATCCCAAAAGACAGTCGTTTGTGCGCTGTCCGACTAAACGGAACTCGCAAAGATAGGGACAGTCACCGCTACCTCTTCATCTTATCTGTCTACGTTTCCACTAACTGCAGCTCAGAAGAGGTGAACGATGCGTCTTACAAAAAACTTTCGGATCTCCTCCAAAAATTTAGGCGTTTTGATTAGTAATAGAGGCGAGTAACTTCAATGCTCAAGTAGGTAGACTTAGTGAAAAGAAAAGATCTTATGGTGTCGCGGCTGATCGAACAGATAATGGCGGCCGTTTACTACAGCTATACTCAGATTACTGCGTATTTCTAGCAAATACCAACTATAAGCACAAGGAAAAAGATCTTTTAACATGATGACCCCCAAATACGTACCAAAGTTGGGTACAATTTGATCACATCACTCATCAAGGAAACCTGTATTATGAATCCAGATGAAAGTGAGACTATCTCGGAAAAGGATGGTCTTATTATCCATTCTCAATCCAGGAGACTGGACCGATGAGCAGAAAATTTTAGAGATTAGTTCAACTGGCCTTCAGCCACACTTTAGTTGCCCACGATCTCCAGTCATCTTGAATGGCAAATCGACGTAAGTCATCCGACTCTTTATGAAGTTGAGAAAGTTATAGGAAATCTGAAGCGGAAGAGAGCAGCGGGTCCAGAGAGATTCACTCCAGAGATTTTAAGGGATGATGGACCAGTTTTAGCAGTTAGATTGATCGAGATCTTAGGTAGAATCTGAGAACTGGACGTAATCCCATCCAACTGGTTACAATCGCTGATTGTCCCAATTTATATGAAAGGACAAAAGTCCTTTTGTGATAATCACAAAGGAAACAGTTTAATTAAAATGCTGTGCTAAATGTTAACCTCGATAATACTTAGACACCTAACTAGAGCTCATGCAGTGCAGACGTGAGAAAACCAGTCTGGTTTCAGATTTGAACGTAGCTATATAGACGACGTATTCGCACTATGTCAGGTCCTAAAACATAGACACACATTTTGGCGTCCCACAATAATTGAATTCCTTGACTTGAGGCGGCATTCGACTCTGTCGAACGTGAGGTTGTGTGGCAGTGTCTGTCATTAGAAGGTGTACCAGAGAGGTATATTAACCTTATACAAACTCTCTACGCGAACGCCACTGTTCGAGTGAAGGCCTATGGCGAACCGTCATCGGAACCGATTACTTCAAGTGATGTCCGTCAGTGATGTTCACTATCTGCATTCTTGTTTAACTTTGTCCTCGGGATGCTTTTAGAGATCACATTATCTTTGGCTGACTTTTCAGGGGTGGACCTTCTACCAGGAGATTTGCTTGTTGACTTTTTCTGACTAGTCTAAAGATTTCTATTTTCGACTGTTTATTAAAACAAACTTAGGATATAATTATAAAAAGAAATGACAGTGTGAAAAACAAGGGAATATGATTTTCGACTATGTTGATTACCGAATGATGAAGTAGTTGCTTCACTGTATCCACAGAAGAAACTAGTTTATCTTTGCCTTCAGCTGGATCTGTACCGAGAATGGAAGGTAATGGGACAGAAGAATGACCAAAAATAGCTGCTTCATGTGCTCTTTCCAACAGCATTGAAGAGTAGTGTCCTGAATTAACTCCTGTTGATCGAGAATGTGAATCCGGATTGATTAGCTAAAAATATCAAATAATTATCAGTGTCTTTAATTAGTGCCCTGTTTTTTTCCATGACATGGATGCACTTCAACTTAGCGATTAAATTCTTGCAGTCTACAGAAGAAATGGTGAGGTTGAGAGTGAACAAGATCATCTTCGCATAACATCCTCATGGTTATATAAAAGAAATGCTCTGAATAGATATTTTGTTCATAATTATATAACCAGATAAAAATTATCGAAAATATGTATTCGCTAGACGTTTTCCTCTCAATTTATTGTGAATGCGTTGATAAACTGAAACATTTATTTAGTTATAAAGAAAGACTACTTTCACTCCTAGTAGACATTAAACTGAAAAGAGTTCAGCCAGACACTGAACGTTCCTACAGGTTTCAAGTGAAAACTATAGTAATTATTTTATGATTTAGTCACGCAAATGTGAATAACTGAAATATCATAGAGTAGTTGGATGATAATAGAATATATTGCATTTAAGCTTTGTCAATCACATATAAAATATGTTAACTAGTTTTTCAACAACCAGATGTACTGCATTAGGTGTCCAACGGGTGGTAAAAACTTGGGAGAAATTTCAATCTTATGTTTTTTATTTTGAAACAATAGCAGTGACTTTAAAGGAAACTTATGTTTCATCTGACATTTCATGTTGTATAATTTAGCTCTATTATCAGTACTTATTAATTGAGCTATGAGAACTAATAACTTAGTTGGGGAATAAACATTTACAAGGTTGCAGATAATTCTTGTTTATGAGTGATAACATGTAAAATAAAGCCTGGACCAAGGACTTCAAAAGAAACAGACCACAACCAAACAACAACAAGCAAAGCTTAAAGGGATAATCTTAGACATAGTAATAGAAAACGTAGGAATTTAAACCATTAGTAATTTTGTACAGTATAAACCTACTGTGTCTTGTTTACGCGAAGAGGAGAAGCTTTTCTGTGTGAAACTTGAGCCTTCGATGTAACTTATTTCATTTTGTCGAGTTATTTCATTATCTGAAGAAAGCATCAAAGGCCTAAGAAAAGTAGCGTTAAAATCAAATAAACGATAGAATATTGAAATCTTACTTCATTTGTATGCGTAGTTCTTTATTTTTATCACTAAAAAAAGGAAGTATAATGATATGTTAGAAATTCAGTAGTAACATATATTTTTGAAGTGTATTATCGAGTAACATGACAGTGATAGAGTTTGCAAACAAAATGTAGAAAGGTAGTTTTTATAAGTACAGGTCCTATAGAAAGTTATCTGTATAAAACTAACGTTTACAGTGACTTGATTTATATGGAATCCATAGTTTAGTGAAAACAAAACAAGGTTTTAGACAACAGATATGCATAACTGTATTCGCATCTACTTATCCGAAAGCATTAACATTGAAGACGAAAATGTATTGAGGTAATTCTTGTAACTGAAAGGGGTAACAAAGTACACTGACTTACTAAAACCTCTTTACGGCACTTGGTCAAATCGCGACTTACAAGAAGCTAGTACTTGAATCGAGTCGGTTAAGTCTTCGAATTGATAGATATTTTGTCAGTTAGTCAAACGAACGACGAAGTTGGCACATATGTACATAAGTGCTTTGAATCGAATATGTTTCTATATGTAACCGTTTGTACCTAAACTTGCATTGATTAATCTATCTGAGGATCACCTCGTTAGCTCGTAGTATGCAAACGATAAAGTCCTGTTTAGTGAAAACGGTGAACGTCTTTAATGATAATACAAGTTAAGGATGCATTTCTTTTACCTTTAATGCGAAAGTTTGCTTTAGAACAGGTATGAGCGAAAATTCAAATGATCTATAGGCAATGAGACAGTTCAGTATGTTGAACATATTACCGACTTTGAAAGTTTTGTCAGTCACAATAGGCTGGTAATTGATGGAAATTGTTTGTGTCTGCGAAACACGCTCGTGACTTGATAACTTACGCCTTTTATAGGACAGACAAGATGCTTGACTGATTAACAAAAGGAGTGTATACCGCGTAATAATTCGCTCCACACTCAATAAATACCTACACTGGTTAGCGAAGAAATGAATGTTAGAAAAAAACCTTTGACAGTAAGACTAAGTTATGAGATTATTTCATGAAATCAACGTTCTCTTAAGTCATTTCAACGTGTATCGAAGTCTATCAAATAGCGAAGAACTATGACACCACCAAAAATGGAAATAAAAAACTCAAAATATTGATCGAAATCTCTAATCACGTTGAAACCTCACGTATAAAAATAACACTTACTGTGAACGCGAGCGGCTACGTCGCCGATGTTTGCGGGAGGAACTGTGTTTTTCATGATTCTCACTAAAATACATGGTGCGATGTCACATTAGCAACGGTAAAATAAAATCTACGAGTATAAATGTATCAGTCATTTTTAAGGGAGAATAAAAGTGAGCGACGAAGGAATATTAAAGCATAGGTGTTTATCAGAACAAATAAATACGCAAGTTTCTTAAGAATCATCATAGCTGAATGTATCGACATACTGGCTCAATATCAGGAAATAACTTTAACCTACCAAGATTTATGGATGTACTCAGTCAGTCAGTCAGATGCAACGTAGAACTTCGTACGTAAGTACATCAGTTCAGGTTGCCATACCACATTAGCACAGAGACGCAATTGTCCATTCAAATCCCATAGTGCTAGCGATAGTAGAAGTATGCTATACCTACACCAGCGAGACCCCGGGAAGCAGCATCAGGGCTACCGGATACACGAAGGGTAAATCGACAGAGATAGAAAGAGAGATACAACGCGGAACTTCGTACATAAGTACATCAGTTCAGGTTGCCATACCACATTAGCACAGAGACGCAACTGTCAGTTCAAATCCAAGAGTGATAGCAATAATAGAAGTATTAGCAGTAATGGAGAAGATTAGGGAGAGACGATATGATTCGAGAAGTATAATGCAGTAAGATAAATTTAGAAGGAGAAAGATAGAGATTATCAGGAATTCAGAAGCTTAGAATCAGAGAGAACACAAAGAGTGGATGCACCTGAGCCATTACAAACGATTCTGAGCCATGTCGTTCAAGGTGTCTAACCATCGGTGACTTTCGTCTCGCGGACCCCAACCAGATAGCTTACACCTACTAACATGACACAGTCCATTTGTCAGTGACTTCATGCATTTCTGCCATGTTTTGGTCAGGCTGCCCAACTTTCTTTCAATCTACTCCTACACCACAAAACATAGCTAGTCGAGGTAGTCGGTGGTTAGGCATACGTAAGACATGTCCCAACCACCTCAACTGATGAAGTTTCACCACTTCATCTATTGATCTGCCATCCTTACTTAGTACTCGTTTCCTAATGGCAGCGATGCTCACTCGGGTTGTCCCACGACACACAAGCAATGCTTCTAAGACACCTATTGTAGTGAAGGAGAACACATGTTAGGGCAACCGAATGGTATTTAACGAAAATTACAGAGCTACTCAGTAAAATATGAACACCATATCGTAACCGTTAATTTGCAAATCTTCAATCCATTGTCTGACAGTTCACTATTCATGCGTTTCATACAAATTCCATTGTGTTCCCACTCTTCCTTTCTTGATCTTCTCCCGTCTTCTGCTGCCAGACATTACGTTTACACTCGCGTCATATACTACTTATAAGTAGCGCGCACCACACTATGATCACATACTAGTAACCTACGAATATCGTCTACTCTGACTAGCCATGTTTCGCATCCGTACAGTAGGACGGAGCGAACTGTTGCACAGTACACTCGTCCTTTAGTCAGCAAACGGATATCTCGCCTACGCCATAAGTGACGCAAGTCGGCAAAAGCAAATCGAGCCTTCTGTATCCGTGCTGAGATTTCGTCAGTCACCAGACCATCAGCACTGATGAGACTCCCCAGATAAGTAAAGTTCAGGTGCCGATGAAACCCAATCTTGAAGCAACATTTTGCATTTCGAGGGGGAAAACCGCATCCCAAACATGCTTGCATTGTTGCTTAGGGTGTTCAGAAGACTGCATTCTGTCAGCGTCTTCACCAAATAGGACTATGTCATCGGCATATTCTAAGTCGATAAGCGAGCCTCCAGGTAGAAGGTCTACTCCTGAAAATTCAGACGAGGATAAGGTTATTTCTAAGAGCATTTCTATAATAAAATTAAACAAGAATGGAAAGAGTGGACATCCCTGACGGACACCACTTGAAGTAAAGAATTCCGGTGACAGTTCGCCATAAGCCCTCACTCGACCAGTGGTGTTCGAGTAAAGGGCTTGTATAAGGTTAATGTACTTCTCTGGTACACCTTTCAATGACAGACACTGCCACAGAACCTCACGATCCACAAAGTCAAATGCCGCTTTTAGGTCCAGGAACACAACTAATGTAGGACGCCTACATGTGTGTCTGTGTTCCAGGACCTGTCTGAGTGTGAAGATGTGGTCTATACAACCACGTCCAAATCTGAAACCAGCCTGGTTTTCTCTAGTCTGTTCTTCACGAGCACTAGCAAGGCGTCTAAGTATAATCGAGGTTAACAATTTAGAAACTATATTAGTTAGACTTATTCCTCTGTGATTGTCACAAGAAGACTTTTGTTCTTTCTTATAAATTGGGACAATCAGGGGTTGAGACCAGTCGGATGGGATTGCGTCCAGTTCCCAGATTCTACCTAAGATCTCAGTCAACCTAGCTGATAAAACTGGACCACCATCCTTAAAAATCTCAGGGGTCAGTCTATCAGGACCTGCTTCTCTAAGTCCCTTTAGATTTCCCGTAGCTTTCTCAACTTCATGTAGTCTGGGAGAACTTAAATCGATTTGCCGTTCAGGATGACTGGAGATCGTGGGCAACCGAAGAGTGGCTGAAGGCCAGTTGAACTGATCCCTAAAGTGTTCTGTCCATCGGTCCAGTCTACTGGATTGAGAATAAATAATAGTCCCATCATTTTCCGAGATAGTCTCGCTTACACTAGGATTCCTAATACCAGTTACCTATCACCGCTGCCTTTTCCATTGCTTTTGCTTTTGCCACCCACCACTGTTCACGGTCGTTGCGTAGGCTTTTTATCAGCCTGCGCCTAAGCTGACTTCGTTCTTCATCATGTTCAGAGCTAGGTGGGATTAGTTTTCGGGCATCCATCAGGTCGGTGGATGCTAAAGAGATCCACGGCTTCATTCTAGCCTTATGGTTAACCTTAAGGCAAGGGTAAATCGAGTTGCTTCTTTATCTTGACATGGTGAGGTTAAGTGGATGATGCTACTCGGATCCTGTATGCGCGTTTCCGAGAAGCAGCACACAACGTTGGCGCGAGATTCTAATGTCCTAGCTAATGAAGCCTATTGCCCTATTTGACACGTCCTTCATTAAATGCTCCAACATGTAGTTTAGAACGGGGCTTCAAAAGACCAGGAATAACGTTTCGACGACTCGAATCGTTTGCAGAAGAGGTGCAGGGAGATAAGGGAATGTGAGTAGAGTTAGTCGTGGAGATAAGAGAGATATTATGGGTGAAGGAAGGATTTGATTGTGACCAATTTGGTCTCGCGTGCTGTTACGGGTATGAGGGAGGTTGTCACTTCCCGACTGTCTACACCTTGGAACGGCGTTTCCTTAGAGACCCGAAAAAGAAGGTATATTAGTGTCGGTCTCAGAGACTTGAGAGCGTGACCGCAGAGCCCAATGGACAACTGCTTGAGTCCAGTTACGCACGGACTTTTTATGAGAGGTTTTATGAGTATTAGCGCCGTTCTTCTTAAAGCCCTTATTGGGCGGCTGTTACAGCCGGAGACGGAAATCCGCGAAGTAAGGTGAGACGTGACATTTTTAGGGTCGACCTTTTCTAACCCTTTCTTCCTTGTGAGAAGGTAGCATCGCTGCAGATGCTGGTTGTCCGAGGGAAACACCTCACTGCCATCACCCCCGCCCTACAGTCAGTAGTACGACTTCGCCCTCAGAACTTGAGTTGCTGCTTTTAGTCTCATTGTTTTTCAATCGACCTGCCTGGCATGGTAGAAACTACAGTGACATATGTTCTAGCTAATATAGCTGGGTCGGGTCATCGTGATAGGCAAGCCCGACCACCACTTCAAGGTAGCAGCTACAGTAGGGTATTTCATAAAGAAATTCGGAACTTCCATGCTAATCATTTGACACCTGAAATCATAGAAACTAATCTACGATATCATCATAAGGATCAACAGTAAGACCGTGCGAAGTCGACATGACGCTCTTAGATATGCATTCGAAACCCGGATCCATCAATGAAGTATACTCTTGATCAATTCGCTCACTGAAGCTTACTGTAAAGTATCATTACAATGGATGCGATATACTGCGGAAAAAAATCAGCTGGTGCTATGATTGTCTATAGTATTTAAAGCCAAAACTGATCCAAAGAGGCCCGAAATTGAGTTTACAGACATAAAAAAGAACAAAGAGTAGAGCAAAAAATGAATGCAAATTAGTATATGGGAGTGAAATAATAATGAGAATAATTGAGGGAGAAACAGTTAAGTTAAGGAAAATACTGAGAGTTCTTTCAGTCAATGAATTTCGTCTCACTTATATGACGCAAACAAAGGAAAGCTACAACATCACTATCACTGGATTCTATTTTGAGATATGTTTGATAATATCTTATGCAACTGACCTGCACCACCACTCAAGCCACAACAAGCGCCACAGATGGCCCACTCTGGCTCATCTGCCTACACGTCAGTTGATTCTATCACTTACGCCACCATCAGTACTTACACAGCTTCCCAGATACACGAACTTCTCGACTATTTTGATCTGCCCACTACAAAGAGTGAGTGCAGGCACAAAATCCTGCCAGACTTTTAAAAGTACTTTGCACTCAGAAGGTGCAAAGCATATATGAAACCTACATACTAATTGCCAACTGATTAAACGATGATTGCATGGTTTAGGAATCTTCACACAGTCAGACAATTTCATCCACATAATGAAGGCTAGAAGATCTTCTTTCCAGGTAACAGACCCACACCACCATTACCTAAATCCGTCAGGGCTGTGTTCAGAACGTCATTGGTGGCAAAGCCGGAAAGGAATGGTGAGATTAGGCAACCCTGTCTAACTTCACTACCTGAATGAAACAATGGAGAGGTGGCTGCATTCCCTCCCTCTGACTGAGGTGTTTGTATATAGGACCTTTAAGATGTTACGAAACTTTTCAGACACACCGTTCTCCAGTATACAATCCCAGAGATCTGTCTTGTCTAGCGAATTGAAGGTGACCGTGATATCCAGAAACACAACGATTGTTGACTTGCGTAAGTGTGTCAGTTCCCTGACATTTGACGGAGTTCGAAAGTATTATCAATACGTCCTCGATCAGAACCGAAACCAGGCTGCTCCCCTCGACTCAATCTTTCCTGGGTTTTGAGCAATCTACGAAGTGTGATGCACGTAAGTTAATCATTTGGACGCGATCGGTAGACAACAGCAGATAATTATGGAGGCGGAGTGCATACATAAAACATAACTCGCCTTAAACCTAGCACAAAGCAATAGCGTCAGGCACATTAGAATTGCTCTTGACGGGTTTGGAGACCCGATAGTTATGAGAACATCATCGAAGCCTACGACATGCCAGGTGCTTCAAACGACTAGATTTGGATAGGTTGGAACTAGACTATCAATTTTCAGCTGCAGAAGAATTTTTCAGCCAGTCAAAATGACTATGTCTTAGCAAACATCGTAAACTGTCGAATGACACACGTAATCATACGAAATAAGATAGCGAGTGCAACTCTTACTTAAGGGAGTAATACACGACACTTCTTCAAATTATACGTATATTAGTGATCTGAGACATTCTAACCACTAAGGAATCAAAAAAGCATCCACATATACACCCGAAATGATGTTAAACAGATGAATTGATCCGTTCAAACGGCAAAGTAGAGAAGTGAAGTTTGCTGAGTGGACACGAAAAAGGGTCGAGTTATTCCACTCACGCGCAACATACTGGTCGTGATGTGAATCCATTTAACAAAAGAGTGTAAGTAAACAGCATTAGGCTCTACATGAAAAAAGCTGAACCCAGACATTGTGGGAAGCTATATATATATATATATATCTTCGAATACCAAACTTTAATGAGACCAGAAAAAGACATTTTTGTAGACTAGCTTATTCATACCATTTGAAATACTGGGCAATTACCAACAAGTAAAATGACTATACAAACTGATCAACATTTGCTAGAATGCCTTCCGCATGGTGAAATTCCAGACGGAAAACATGATCTAGCATCGCCTTAAATTATTATGTACATATGAAAAAACATGAAAGCAGTGACACTGCTGACAAAAAGCAATAGAGAAGTGTACTAATTTTAATAAACTCACTAATTACGTTTACTCATTGCAACCTTGAGAATCGAAAGCCCACACTGTCCTCCAAGTTTCTACAATAAACGTGTGCAATATCTATGATATCTTTCATCTTATTGTCCAATAATTTTAGGAATTGTGTAACTAGTATTTTTCTGGTACTCGGACACATTCTTACTCTTCATGGTATCAAATACGCACTCAAACCATTTCGATGCACGAATCCTTATAAATTCGATAGTTAGATAAAGATCCAATCTCCATTATCTTATTCATAAGCAAATATAAACTGATTGATTTTTTGTGCAAGATTTTTGTTCTTTCTGGATGTTGGTAATGTCTAAAGGATGATAGTCTGGTCACTTGACTGCACCAATTCTAGTCAGCTGGCAGTTATTTATGAATTTGAATATCATGTGATTTGAATGATTATTCTATCTCAGGGCAGTAGGGTTTACGGCTACCTGCACCAACCACGTGATCAGGCCGGGGATAAGTACGATGCAATGTGTAAAAAAATAAAGACAAAACTCTAATGCTAAGAAGAGGAAGATTTCAGAACCAAGTAAATGGACGGATCAATAACTTAATTAAGTAGTAGTGAAGATTGTGAGAAAGGACAGATGTGTAAACGAGGAAGATGAAACAGAGATAACAAGCAAGAAACATTTTTGTCACTGATCTGACGAAATGGATATAATAACAACTAGCAGGTCTCAAAACATGCATCAGCCACTTATGGTCCCAGAGGAAGATGATAATCCGTATGTGCGTACAATTTTATCAAGTCTCTTCTTGGAAGGGCTGTGGTCACTTTGACAGAGAGAAAATATTTTGAATTTGCAACATCTCCTATTAAAAAAGAATGTGAACGAACCTGGGTATACTCTCTATTCCAAGGACTACCTCGACGGAAGTACTAGTGGTTTTTCGTGATATGCTCATGTTATTATGATTTGGCGTGCTTAATATGTTGTACTCCATTTTCAGATCACCTCTGAATCTCCTGTAATTTGGAGGGAACAGTCTCAGTTGCTGGCCCATATATTCATAAGGCGTATTCTTCAGCCTAATAACCTATTTTTATACCTGTCTATGCACTCGATCTGGGAGAATAATGTCTCTTCTAAGGTAGCCCGACCGTAGCTGCTACCTTGACGTGGTGGTCGGGCTTGCCTATCGTGATGACCCAACCGAGCTATACTGGCTGGAACATATGTTCCTGCAGGTCCTACCATGCCAGGCTGGTCGATTGGAGAACGATGAGACTAAAAACAGCAACTCAAGGTCTGAGGGCGAAGTCGTACTGCTGACTGCAGAGGGGTGTGACAGCAGTAAGGTGTTTCCCTCGGACAACCAGCATCTGCAGCGATGCTGCATTCTCACAAGGAAGGAAGGGTAAGCAAAGGCCGACCCCGAAAATGTCACACCTCCCCTAACTCACGGATTTCCGTCTCCTTGGGTAAGGGTTACCACTAAGGGCCTTTAAGAACGGAGCTAATCCTCTAAATACCTTTCATAAAAAGACCGTGCGTGACCGGCCTCAAGCAGTTGTCCCTTGGACTCTGCGGTCACGCTCCCAGGTCTCTAAGACGGACACTAATCTACCTTCCTTTTCAGGTCCCTCAAGAAACAACCCATCATGGTGTGGGCAGCCGGGAAGTGATAACCGCCTTCATACCCGTAACAGCACGCGAGACCAAATTGGTCAAAATCAAATCCTTCCTACACCCTCTAATTACTAACTCTACTCACACTCCCTTTTCTCACTGCACCGCTAATGCAGACGAAGCGTAAGGCTAGGATGAAGCCGTGGATATCAGTCGCGTCCACCGAACTGATGGATGCTCGAAAACGCATCCCACCTGACTCTGAGCATGATGAAGAGCGTAGTCAGCTTAGGCGCAGACTTATAAAAAGTCTGCGTGTAAGTGTAAGTGAGACTTTCTCGGAAAAGGATGGTCTTATTATCCATTCTCAATCCAGGAGACCGGATCGATGGGCAGAACACTTTAGGGATCAGTTCAACTGCCCTCGAACCACTCTTCGGTTACCAATGATCTCCAGTCATCCTGAATGGCAAATCGACCTAAGTCCCCCTAGTCTTAATGACGTTGAGAAAGTGTTAGGAAATCTGAAACGAGGACGAGCTGCAGGTCCTGATAGACTGACCCCTACGATATTTAAGGATGGTGGTCCAGTTTTATCAGCTAGGTTGACTGAGATCTTAGGTAGAATCTGGGAATTGGACGCAATCCCATCCGACTGGTCTCAATCACTGATTGTCCCAATCTATAAGAAAGGACAAAAGTCTTCTTGTGACAGTCACAGGGTAATAAGTCTAGCTAATATAGTATCTAAAATATTGGCATCAGTAATAGTTCGACGCTTAACGAAAGCTCGTGAAGAGCAGACTCGAGAAAACCAGGCTGGTTTTCGTCCTGGACGTGGTTGTATAGGCCACGTCTTCACACTCAGACAGGTCCTGGAACACAGACACATATTTAGGAGTCCTACAATAGTTGTTTTACTGGACCTAAAGGCGGCATTTGACTTTGTGGATCGTGAGGTTCTGTGGCAGTGTCTGTCATTGAAAGGTGTACCAGAGAAGTACATTAACCTTATACAAGACTGGGTTGCATCGGCACCTGAACTAGTGATAAGGAGTGAAGTAGTCGAACAGGTAGACCGCTTCACTTATCTTGGGAGTCTCATCAGTGCCGATGGCCTGGTGACTGACGAAATCTCAGCTCGGATACAGAAGGCTCGATTGGCTTTTGCCAACCTGCGTCACTTATGGCGTAGGCGAGATATCCGTTTGCTGACTAAAGGACGAATGTACTGTTCAGTAATTCGCTCAGTCTTACTTTATGGCTGTGAAACATGGCCAGTGAGAGTAGAAGATATTCGTAGGTTACTGGTTTTCGGTCATAGGTGTCTTCAAAGCGTCGCTCGTATACCGTGGGACAACCGATTGAGCAATTCTGTCGTTTGGAAACGAGTACTAGGTAAGGATGGCAGATCAATCGATGAAGTGGTGAAACTTCATCATTTGAGGTGCTTGGGACATGTGTTGCGTATGCCTAACCATTGACTGACTCGACGAGCTTTGTTTTGTAGTGTAGGAATAGGTTGAAATAAAGTTAGGGGCGGCCAAACCAAAACATGGCAGAAATCTATGAAGTCATTGACTAGTGGACTGAGCCATGTCGGTAATTGTCGACTACGTGGTTGGGGTCCGCGAGATGATAATAATCGATCGTTAGAGACCTTGAATGACATGGCTCAAAATCGTTCGCAATGGTGCCGGTGCATTTATTCTCTGTATTCTCTCAAACCCTTATCTTCTGGATTCTCCAACCCTTCTAGTTTCGACTCTCTAAACTTTTCTCATTGAATCATACTTCGTGAATAATATCTTCTAATCCTAACCTCTTCGATTACTTCTAATGCCTTTACTACCTCTTCTACTATTGGATTTGAATTGACGATTGCTTCTCTGTGCTGATGTGGTATGGCAACATGAACTGATGTACTTACGTACGAAGTTCTAAGTTGCATCTGACTGACTGACATCTAAGGTAGGGGAGTTTGGAAACAATCGGAACCTCAAGTTATAGCACAGCCTATGAGGTAATAGCATCAAGTAGTCTTCACATAAAGTGAAGGTTTTCATTATCCTTGGCTGAGTTCCCTATGTACTCTGAACTGGTGTCTAGGCTTTCTATGGTTATTAAAGTGACATCGCACTCTGAGTACACACGATGTAGCAGACTTCCAATGAAGGTGTAAGTCGTTTGTGTCACGTTTGGCAGAATTTACACAACGTGAAATTTCAGCTGGTTTAGATTTATACCTTTTTACTGGCCAATTCTCAACAGATGTAAGGTCTTTTTGAAGCTCAGCTTAATTCTCTTCGCTTCAAGTAAACCTCCAGGTCATTGCATCATCTGCGTAGGTCGATTCCGCTGAGCTGACTTTGTCGAACATATCATTAATAAATATCAGGAAACGGAGTAGACCTGAGATGTTCCCCTGTGAAACTTCCGATGTTGAGAATCACCAACTCACGTGCATTCTACTTACCTTGGATGAAAGTTACTTTTCACAAGGTAGTTTCTTAGGCAGAATAGAAGTGGGTCACTGAAGCTCATTTCCGTTACCTTCGTGATTAGGAGTGTGGTGTGCTGTGTTGAAGGTTTCTGTGAAGACAAGTAATATTACGTGCACCGTTATTTTTCGACCCAGCAGGTTTATTTGTTCTATATTTTGAGGAGCTTGCATGCTCATTACCTGTTTTTGCAAAACTCGTGTTGAGCTTCGTAAAAGATGTTGGTTTTACCTGTGTACTTCGTCATTTGCTACCTCATCAGTCATTCTATGACTTATGGTAGTATTGCGACCTGTGTCATTCTATTCAATTCCCTAACAGGTCACCTGACAGTGAACTGATGTGGGATTATGTACACTTTTTCAAGACTATAAGACAAGTATTGTCACATGCGTTTGACTTTTCTGGGAGCAGGGTTTCGAGTTTCCTCATGATTAATTCAGGATTAAGTCGGATATTCCCTAGACCGTCAGATGACACCAGTTTTGAGCAGCACTGTGAACGTTTAGGCACATGGTTTAACTGATCGGTGTAGTTGGTGTTGAAGATTTCAGCCATTTCCTGTTTGCTTACATATTCTGCATCTGGACTTTTGCGGACACAAACACTCTCGTTTGTTTGTTTTCCTTTAGTCACCAACCTTAACAGATACTTAAGGTTTGTCTGTATTTTGGCAGCTAGCTCCATCTGAAAGTGTCTCCTATTACCTCAAACTTTGTCATCGCATATGTTTCTCCTTGTCAAGTAATAACGACGGTCGGAATCCTTCAAAGAGACCTTCCACTTGTACCAAGTTCTCCTTTTCGCCTGTAACAAATGTTCTTCTCTTTCCAGGTATGTGGTGTGCCTGAGGTACATTGTTTGGGACAGGATTCTGTATGAAGTCTGTCACGTTTCTGTAACTGACCCTCTACTGTTAGCTTACTCCATTCCCGTGGCTATGAGGAATGAAGATAATCTGTTATGTGGGAGCAATTGGCTCTAATGTAGCAAAGTGAGGGCTCGCTTTCATCCTCTCTGAGTGTTTCGTTTATGACCATGTTAAAGAGAGTGAGCCATTTTAATACATTCTATTGGTGTATGGACATGAACATCTTCGACCGGAAGCTGATTATTTGTTAACAAACAATTCAGTTTTGATGGCTGTACCAAGTAGTTTTTGAAAGCAACCAGTGGGAGTTGTACATTGTATGCTGATAATTACAGATGGATTGTTGAAATCTCCTACTAAGAGTATTTTATCGAACCGGAGTGGCAGCTGAAGTTTTGCCTGAGTAAATTTATCTTTCTGGTCTTTAACACTTGAGGAGGAACGGTAAATCCTTTAGATTATTCATCCTGTAACGCTTATGTTGAAGAAACAATAGCATGATTCTGTCAGACTCGGTTAGTTGGGTGTGCTGTAGACTTGACTTTGAAATAGCTGCCAACATATTCATACCACTCTGCCTCCTGTAACCAGTCGCATCGGAATGGTGTCGTGCCTTGTATGCTCACTTCATCGTCTAAGATAAATAAAAGCTAATACGACTTGAATATGAACTTATTTGTTCGTTTTTGCAGATAGTATATTATAAGGCTGAGAGGGTTACTGATGGTATTCTGAAGTATGTCAGAATTCAGTAACAAAGCAGGGAACACAGAAGTATATACCAAGGCGGATAATGATATAAATCTTTTTCGCTAGTCGAACAGTTAAAGACAAATGGATGAAAAAATATAAATATATGATAGCTGAATGAGCGTGTTACCAGATGACGTGGTATGTACGGTCGATATTACCACTAACTATAATACTATTAATAATGATAATGACAGTAATAATCGATAAAATGCAGAATATATTTTGTCTTGTATACGAATGGTTTTATGGTACTCCAGATCAAAATCAGTAGTGCAGTGATATGTACAGTATTTTCCAGTTTCTTCGCATGGCTCTATATTGAAATATCTGTCCTTTTGGATAGCCCAACCGCGTAAATCTGACGTATTGTGATTTTCATTCACTGTAATGCACTTTATCGAGGTTTGTCACAAGAAGTGCTAATTAAGAATTTATGAAAAAAGTAGTTGAAACTTGGATTAGGAAGCGGTGGTTCTGTGCACCACGTACCACGAATTTATTACTCACTGAAAACACACTCTCCGAAAACCCCTGACTTCATAAAATCTAACATCTGTGGATTTATGAATAGGATGGTTTTTGATCACTTGAGTAGCCTATCGAAAGACGGTGACACAAACAAGCGAGTTGTCGTCTTGAAATGAAAACCCTGAAACTGACTTCCGATATCGCGCGTTTTCTCATTTATAAAGATTTTCTGCGTAACTACTTACTAATAGAGTATGGATACTCAGTCAAACCAGGTCAGGAAGGAATGATATATAGGATCAATTGAGTAGATGATCGGTTCGCTGATTAGTGAGTGACCAAAGCTGGTGAGTTTCAGGCAAGTACGTGTAGCGTGTACACAATAGTGATCTGGCGACGATGGGTGACCTAGCGCCTTTTGCAAGCTTGTTTTCAGTTGAACTGATGAACCCAACATCAAAATCGAAGATCCGTACTACTTATTATTTTAGGGATTTATTTACCGCTATAATCACCTCTTGGCCCTGGTATATAAGTAGATTTTCAAACCAGTATACAACAGTTTCCAACGCAGCGTCATACATTTAAACTCCTGATGGTACTAAAGCTTATAGTTTCTTAATTTCGTTGTCCTTAACGACTAAGTAGCAAGAAAAACTGCAAAGCTGATAATCATTGAACACATATGCCTTCTTCACAAACACCTTTAATAGTCATCGATTGTATGTACCATGTGAAGCTATAGTCGAAGAGTTTATCCCTATACAGTTTTAGTTATGCAACATAAAATGGAAGACAAGAAGTTGGATAGTTTATACAAGTATATAAAGTGTCCATTCATGCATGTTAGTCATTCCATGACTATCCACCTGCTGGTACATTGATGTGCTAGGATATTAATACGAAGATGAGTTAAATACTAATTTGAGCCAGATTGGTAGGCCCAAAATACCTAGTTGTGGTCAGCGAGATTTTCATGACAAATGGATGGTGATATTGTGTGACGTTGTCGTAGATTCATCGACTCTGCCTACTGACAGTCCAAGTTAGAAATTACTTTGTACCTGTTTTGTGATGCGTAGATCGATCTGTCATAACTAATAATACTACAACAACTATTATGATATTCATCATAATGATTTCACCTAGTACAACAACAGAAATATTATAAGAAAATAAAAATACTCATTAACGTCGCTCTTATTGTGGATTGGAAAAAATTTAACAAAGGGGATAGAGATACAAAAAAAGTTTTAAAAACATTTTCTCGGTTAATTTTATAAAAAAAGATTTTTCCATTTGAATATACAAATCCAGTTTTTAGTTGAACAATGTGTATAGGATAACTGTAGAGCCGCAAATGAAATTTTTCACTAAACTGTTTATTTCTTTATATTGCTCACTACATTTGAAGTTTTTTCATTTTTAATCACAGAATGTGAGATCTTTGCTTACAAAGAAAGGAACCACAGGATAAAAGTGAAAAAAATCAATTGTCTGTATAACATTTATAAATATATAGCAATGTTTGCATGAAAAAATATTTATGTAAATAAAATGCTTATACAAAGAATATTCAATATTAGTTTTTCGTAAGAGGGAAGAATAAAACATGTATGGAGCTTCTACGAATATTAAAATAGGCAAATGTGCCAACCAAACCAGAAAGTAAATGGCAATCAGGTTTAACTGTAACCTATCGATTGTGACGATTTCAGTTATTATCAGTGGAATACACAGACAGATGCCTAAATGAAGGAGAAGAAACAATATTCCGTGTATAGAAAAATAAATTTCAAACATATACATTCAGGCCACACTTGTGACTTCGGAAGCACATAAATGTAGCGAGTTTAAATTTGGTACAAAATTTTCTAGTGTATTCCATACAGCTTCTGTTATAAAGAAAAACACAAATACGTACACATTATGTAATAATGTAGTAAGCATAATTAGTTAACATTTATATTGATAACTACTTAACTGGATGAAATAAATAAGAATCAGCTGAACCTAACACGATATTTTTCCCGACCGTTAGTCATTTGCATTCAAGTGAATAAGTAGAATGCAGATCGGCAACTAAATGCAGAATAGTGTCAATATAATGTAATATTACATTTCTACATTTCGTAGTACTCCAGCAGCATTATTAATACACATACACCAGCTTGACTGGTCTACGAAAAATTCTAGAAGAGACATTGACACTGCGACTTAGTTACAGTACAGAACATCGTACGTACGTCTGTACATCAGTTCATGTTGCCGTAAAACACATTAGCACACAAACATCGAAATCAAAATTCAAATCCCAGAGCAGTAGATGAAGTAGAAAGATTAGCAGTAATCGGAGAGATTAAGGTTCGAAGTTATAATTCAGTGAGATAAGTTTAGAAAGAGAGAGATAGAGGCGATGAGGAATTCTAAAGATGAGAATTTGAGAGAACACAAAGAATGGATGCGCCTGCTCAACTGTAAACGGTTTTGAGCCATATTATTTAAAGTATCTAACCATCAATTACTATCCTTCTGCGGGCCCCAACCAGGTAGTCGACACCTACAAACATGACTCAGTCCACTTGTCAGTGACTTGATGGATTTCTACTATGTTTGTTTTGGCCGCCCCTAGCTTTCTTCCAACCAGCTCCTACACCACAAAACAGCTCGCCTAGGCAGTCAGTGGTTGGGCATTCGTAACAAATGTCCCAACCATAGCAACTGATGAAGTTTCAATACCTCATCCACTGACCTGCCATCCCAACCTAAAACCCGTTTCCTCACAACAGCATTGCATACTCAGTGGTCCAAGGATATGTGAACAATGCTTTGATGACACCCATGCTCGAAAACCAGTAAAATATGAATATCCTCTGACTGGCTAAGTTTCACACCCGTAAATTAGGACGGAGTGAAATGCTGCTCATCAGACTCGTCCTTTGCTTAGCAAACATAAGTGACACAGGTTTTAAAAAGATAATCGAGCCTTCTGTATCCGTGCTGAGATCTCGTCAGTCACCGGGCCATCAGCACTGGTGAGACTCCCAAGATAAGTGAAGCGGTCAGCATGCATAACTGCCTCACTCCCTATCACTAGTTCAGGTGCCGATGCAACCCAATCATGAAGCAACATTTTGCATTTTGAAGGGGGGAATCGCATCACGAACGTGCTTGCATTGTTACCTAGGATGTTCAAAAGACATTGCATTTTGCCAGCGTCTTCACCAAATAGAACTATGTCATCAGCATATTCTAAGTCAGCAAGCGTGTCTCCTGGTAGAAATTCCACACATGAAAAGCCAAATGATGACACTACGACAGAGATATAAAAAGTGACCCTACGATTCCCGATAATGTACGGATTTATAAATCCTATTTAATAAGATTTTTATTTACATGCCCTTACTAGATGATAATAAGCATGCATCTAAAAATATACTGCTAGTACAATCGCAAAATCTCCAGTTAAATATGGCGTTGACCAGAATATAGAACTTGGATCTTCGTAAAAATATTGATATAAAACGAAGAGTGTGAGGCGTAAATGGTAAACCGTAATAAATACCAACAACAAACCAGTTTGAAAGTATAAGAACTCTAAGAATAAGTCATTATATAGAATACTTAGGAGAATATTTTTTAAAAAATGGAGCGAATTATCTCATGGATTTGGAAAACTTCAAAGTACATGAACAAATAAGCTTAGATAGACATTAAATACCTTTTAATTGATCTAACGATACATTGCTATCGTCTTGGAACGGATCGTCGAATTTCTCTGCAATCGGTTCATCTGATTCATCATGGTATGTTGCAAAATAACGATGAGCTAATGCTTGAGCAGCTGTTAAACGTCGATCTGGATCAAGGTGAAGCATTTGTTGCAATAAATCAACAGCTTGAAAATAATAAAATGCAAAAGAAAAGGTATATCATTAATTAGTTTTGAAATGTTACCATTTTCATTTCTTCGCCAAACCAAAATATATGTGTATTTTACCATTATATGAATGTTATACCAAAAACTAAAGGTTATAAATCAGCTAATGCATAAATAATACATAAGAACAGGTAAATAAAACTAAAAACTATTTTAAGATTAAACAAATCCGATAGTTCATAGTTTAATTGATAAACAATAACAGGAATACTTTTAATATGAGACTGTGTAATTTATTTTGGAATTTTAAATGGAACTCATCTCATTTAAACGTGCTCAATCAATTTAAACATTAATGATTAATTAGATGGTAAGCGGGTGATTAATATTTCATCACTTTGAAGATTAATTATTTGAGGAATAAATAACGGAAAGATTAATAATCTTGGTTACTTATGATAAAAAAATAAATAGAAAAAGTAGTGATCTAATTTTGATGCGATGGGGATAGCTCATTTAAATACGTGTAAGTGAAGTTGTTCAAAAGGACAACTGAAACCAACGAGATAAAAGATCACAATACCAACATTTGAAATAACAACTACTATACGCTTGAAAATAATTACTAAGCTAGTGAGATAACACGAATCGTATTCCATGTTGTCCCTTAAAAGTGCACATTGTAATATTTTACAATCAGCAAAAAAATCTAGGATTAAGACAATAGGCGAGTGGAGAATCACGTAATAATTTATCAGTTAATCTGTTGAAATATCACGTAAAATGTCTATAAGATTAACCGTGAAGCCAGTGGTCACAAAATAACTCATTGACATTGTATTGATAAATAATTAAATAGATAAAAAGATTAAGGTTTGAGGGAACACAAATAATGGATGCACCTGCTCAACTGTAAACGATTTTGAGCTATGTCGTTCAACGTCTCTAACCATCGATTACTATCATCTCGCCAACCCCAACCACGTAATCTACACTTACCAACATGGCTCAATCCACTAGTCCGTAATTTCATGGATTTGTGCAATGTTTTGTTTTGGCCACATCTAGCTTCCTGCCAGCCTGTCTCTACATCAAAAAACATCACTCATCGAAGCAGTCGGCATCAGACCTTAAGCTATTACGTTTAGTGTTACCGATCCTCAAGTTGGTAAGATCTAAGGGAACATGTTCAGTCAATATAGCTAGGTTCGATCATCACGATGGGAAATCCCGACCACCATGTCAGGGTAGCAACTACAGTTGGGATGTGAAGAATATACACTATGTACGACTACCAGAGAGAGCAGTAGAACAGGTCATGAATTTATGACTTTAGATTCCTTGATAATATGTACGAAGTAATAAGCTAAAATGAAACCAAAATCAAGATATTCATTTCTCTATAAAAAGTTGGATATTACATAGACGTAAAGTGAGAGGAATTCATTTTACGTAAATATGAGTTTAAAAAAAATATAAATGATATTTTATAAACTTACCATCACTTGAAAAAGAAGAGAAATATGTGTACAAATTTTGTGGTTCACATTTACTGATATCACGAATAAATTCACATGCCTACAAAAAAATAGAGAAAATGTCAATGAAATTGTGCGAGAACGGATACTTATATGTTTGGGAAACAAAGTAAGCACAGGAGTTGCTATTATATGCAATTAAGTGGGAATTGTGTATCAATTTTTGTCATCAAGTTAAATATGAAGTAGTATCATTAATGACAAGAGTAAAGAAATCAAATTACGACCGAAACTATAACAACGCATTTTTCGAACCAACAATAGTCTTTTCTCATTTTTATAATTGATTAATTATACTGTTATGCCAAATTACAGATTTTCATGTGTAGATCAGTATTGACCGAATGTAGACTTGATTTAATCAAAATACTATTTATAATGTACTGTAATATGAGTGAACTGATTGAGTAAGTAAAGATTGAGTGAGTAAAGAATGGCAGCAAAAAGGAAAGTATTTTAGTGCTTAACAAAATTAAAACGGTTAGAAGTAGAATATATCCTATGATAGAAAATAAATATATAGTGTATATGCATCTAATACTCTTTTGAAAATATCCGCATACCAAAACAATATACAGTCCACTTTCAGAAACAACTGATTCATTGACTTCATCTAAGGTAGAAGATAAAATCCTGATAGAGGGATGATTGAGAAATCCAAGATTAGGATAAAACACTTGTGCTCCGTAGTTTTGAATAGCTTGTAAACTAACATTTATTCGTGAAAACTAGCTACAAACTGAATAGTCTCCTAAGATACTGAATAAAATAATTACCAAAAAAACCCTTGAGAAATCCGTCAACTGTTGTATTTAACAACCTTGTAATTTAATTATAACAACTGATCACATCATGATAGAAATATGTATACTTGAATATATAAATACGGAAATAAATGCATAGATACATATTGTACAGGAGAAACCTTTGCAAAAAAATCAGTTGCAAGGTTAATAAGAAAACTAATAATAAAAAAAACCAGATAACTACTAATGACAACACAATCTCCTAAGACAAAATATAATAGGCTAGACGTAAAATTTTACTTAGAATTATTACAAAAATAATTGTAGTTCTTCTGATTTCGAAAAATAGATTGTGACATTATTTATATCATGATTTTCCATAATGAAGTTTGGCAAAAAGAAATTAAAATTTAAAGAGTCTATTACTTATTAAGCCACTTTTATTTGTAGAACATGCCATCTGCCTAAGTTGAAATCAGAGTAAAAGGTAAAACTTAAACTATCAGAATGAGATCACATTGAAAATCAATGTAGTAAGCTGAACCTCGTAAATTAAGTATTTTGTTATAAAAAAGTAACCAATTTCGCCAGACAGACAGCATAATTGGTTATTATGAATGAATAAGTATTGTAACTGATCGTAATTCTATCAATTACGAATATAAGCTAGAAAACGATGAAGATAGAAATTTCTGTTGGAATGATAAGAAAACAACCATAGAAAATAATTATTTCATTGTAATATCCTGTGGTTTAATGTTCTGATCAAAATGCAACTAGAATTTAAGCAAAACCAATAGATGAAGAGCAGTGTGTTGTTTAGCATGTAACTCAACACACAATTATTTGACATTGTTTTGGTATTCCTTCTTAAGCACTTTTTATTTGTTTTTGGTTTTGTAGAAAATATGGTATGCATTAGACAAAAAATAATTAGTTCAAATGACTGCTATTGATAGGTTAAATAATTACACCAACTACTAGAACATATGATAAAAACACCTAGATGAAATTGATAATATTCCTAAAACTTATCTGGGAATAACATGCTTATATTATTATCGAAAAGTGGTAAATATTATGTGGTAGACAAATTAGCTAGCTATTCAAACATGTAACATTACAATTATTACATGCTATGATATTATAGTATTACATCAGTAACACTTTAAAAGCAAAAGATAATAGTCAAAAGTGCATGTTGATTGTACATTACAGTTGTTTATTTATTACTAAAAAACAAGTATCGTAAATGTACCATATAATAAACAATGATCAATCCATAAACACCTTGAAAATTATGCACCAGATATGACAATTATTATCTATGAATATATAATATAAAATTTGTAAAATAAGAAACACTTAATAATCTAATTTAAGACAATAAAACTAAATTTTAATTAAAATATTTACAAAACAACCATTTATTTATTGAAAATTTATCGATACTGCACAGTTTTTTACGTATAGTGTTGAACACATATTAGTCAACTTAAAATAATATTCTATAGACTTTGCAAGGTTGTACATTTATGTTAAACAATCTATTTATGTAGGTATTGACTGTATAGATTAAGATTCTCAATCGTAAACGAAGTTTCATATAAGTTTCGATATTAAAATAATGCAGTCAAATATAATTAATGGGACAGATTTAATACCCAGTCAGTCAGTTAAAACGTAGAACCTCGTACGTACGTATATCAGTTCAAGCTGCCATAGCACAATTGCACAAAGACGCAATTGTGAATTCAAATAACATAGTAGAAAAGATAATAGAAATAATAGCGGGAATGTAAGAAGATTAGAGTTTAAAGACAATATTCAATAACCATAAGCCAGCGAAATAAATTTTAAAAAAGAGAAAGATAAATGTGATGAGGAATTCAGAAGATTAGAATTTGAGAGAACACAAAGAATGGATGCGCCTGCTCAACTGCAAACGGTTTTGAGCCATGTCATTCAACGTCTCTAACCATCGATAACTATCATTTCGCAGACCACAACTAGTTAGTCTACACTTACCAGTATGGCTCAATCCACTAGTCCGTGACTTCATGGATTTCTACTATGTTTGTTTTGGCCGCCCCTAGCTTTCTTCCAACCAACTCCTACACCACAAAACAGCTCGCCAAGGCAGTCAGTGGTCGGGCATTCGTAACAAATATCCCAAGCACCTCAACTGATGAAGTTTCAATACCTCATCCACTGACCTGCCATCCCAACCTAAAACCCGTTTCCTCACAACAGCATTGCATACTCAGTGGTCCAAGGATATGAGAACAATGCTTTGATGACACCCATGCTCGAAAACCAGTAAAATATGAATATCCTCTACTCTGACTGACTAAGTTTCACACCCGTAAATTAGGATGGAGCGAAATACGGATATCTTGCCTACGCCATAGATTAAACAAGTTTAAAAAGCCAATCGAGCCTTCTGTATTCTTACGAAGATTTGGTCACACACCAGGTTATCAGCATTGACGAGTCTCGCAAGATAAGCGAAGCAGTTCACACGCTCCACTAGTTCAGGTGCCGATGCAACCCAATCTTGAATCAATATATTGCATTTCGATGAGCAGAATCGCATTCCGAACATGCTTTCATTGTTGCTTAAAATGGTCAGAAGACTGCAATTAGTCAGCGTCTTCACCAAATAGAACTATGCTATGAGCATATTTTAAGTCAACAAGTGTGTCTCCTGGTAGAAGGTTCACCTCTGAAATGTGAGACGAAGACAATGTCATCTCTCTAAAAGTATGTGTATGACAAAGTTAAACAGGAATGCAGGAAGAGGATAACCCTGACGGACACCACTAGAAGTAAAGAATTCCGATGAAAGTTCGCTGTGAGCTCTGACTGAACCAGTAGTGTTTAAGTTAAGAGCTTGTATAAGGTTAACATACGTTTTTGGTATAAGTTTTATTGACAGACACTGCCACATAACCTCACGATCGACAGAGTCGAATACCGCCTCAGGTCAAGGAATTCAATTATTGTGGGACGCCGAAATGTGTGTCTACGTTTTAGGACCTAACCCAGTGTGAATACGTCGTCTATATAGCCACGTCCAAGTCTGAAACCAGACTGGTTTTTACGCGTCTACACTGCACGAACTTTAGATAGGTGTCTAAGTATTATCGAGGTTAACATTTAGGACAGCATTTAAGTAAAACTGATTCTTCTGTGAGTGTCACAAGTGGACTTTTGTACTTTCTTGTAAATTGGGACAATCAGCGATTGTAACCAGTTGGATGGGATTAGGCCAGTTAACCTAACTGCTAAAACTGGACCATCACCGTTAAAAATCTCAGGTGTAAGCCTATCAAACCCTGCTGCTCTTCTTCGCCCTAGATTGTCTACAGACTTTTCAACCTCACTAGGAGTCAGAGGACTTACATCGATTTGCCATTCAGGTTGACTGGAAATCGTGGGTAACTAAAGTGTGGCTGAAGGCCAATTGAACTGATCTCTAAAGTGCTCTGCCCATCGATATAATCTCCGGGATTAACAATCAATAATAGTATAATCTTTCTCCGAGTCTCACTAACAGTTGGATTTCTAATATCGGTTTCTTTGATAAGTCTGAATAGTTGTCTGCTGTTACCTATTGCCGCGGCCTTTTCTATCTCTCTTGCTTTCGCTACCCGCTACTGTTCGTGATCATCGCGTTGGATTTTTATCAGCCTTCACTTAAGCTGACTCCGCTCTTCGTCATGTTTAGAGCCAGGTCGGATGAGTTTTAGAGCATCCATCAGTTCGGCAGATGAAACTGAAATCCATGGCTTCTCCCTAACATTATGGTTTACCTTACCAGTAGATATCACTGCTGTTTCGACAGCTTTTTTGATATCGTTCCAAGCCGCCTCTGATTGGAATCCCTTACACGGTCAGCATACCATTTTTCTAGTTTTTCCTAGAATATATTATTAGTTTTGCTATCAGTAAGTAGTACCCTAACATGTTTCCCTTCATGGGGCTCGATGTTAACAAGTTTGGTTCAATGTTGGGACGAATTCGAGAGATGTTCTTCCTTATGCTTAAAGTTAGTAATTGCTGGAAATAGACGATTGCCTGAGCATAGTTGTAGCAGACGGTCGCCATTATCTGTTCTGTGAGTACTGTACCGTCTTATGACATTAGCTTACAAGACAATTTGATCCGTACCGTTATACAATCCGATATAAAAAGGAATCACACTCAGAAAGATTTCTACTATACACTAAATTAAGTTTGTGAATAATGTATGAAAGTATCGATATAGAACTAATATAGAAAAACATACATTAACAGTACGAATAAACTTAGTGTCAATATGAATGATATTTGCTTTAATCGTATATGACATAAAATTACATGTTTCAAAATAATAGTTGTATTTACTTTACAACTTTTTTGAAACGGTCATGACTGTTTTACATAGGTTGTACATTTACAAAATTACAATTGTTCAATTTGTTACAAAAGTTCGAAGACAAGGGTGAAATATACAACAATAAATAATATTAATTGACTATCGTAAATTAAAATAAAACAGAACTAATTTAAACTAATAACCTGATATATTAAAAATATACTGAACTAATGTGTCACAACTACTCAATAGTATTGTGATAACCATTAGTGAGAAATTTCATCCAGTTGGTTTCCTTTACGAATTTGAATCAAGCCAAAACAATAAATGAGGCAGAATAATATGAACTCAACAGCCGCTTACAACCATATATGTAATAAAGTATAACATTGAAGAACGATATAATTCTTTCTGCCGTCATTAATATCAACTGCTTGACATTGTATCATTCCTCAGCGTTACACTTTATTATATATATATATGGTTGTAGGCAACTGATGAGAAACCACAAATTACAATGAACTCATGTTATTCTGCCTAATTTATTGTTCTAGCTTCGTCCATATAATCCAGATATATAACATAGTTCATCCTTTGTAAATTTATAAGCTTAAAAGTCAATAGTCAGTTCTAAATGTAGATGCGAGATATACTAAACTGTCGAATTTGGAGAGGAAGACAAGAGTGCAAAGCTTAAGTTCTGGAAAGAATAATTTTACGTACTGGGCTTCAAGTCATATCTTTTGTGCGACAGTTAGTGGTACTACGCAAAGCGAAATAGGTGGAGCGGGATCGGAACCCAAGGCTCAACAGTTGTAAGCAAAGTGCTTTATACATCAGGTCACTTTAATTACTTCAGTTTGTTCAACAGAATGGTGTAACGAAGGAAAAAATCACATTTGGATTCACGAAGTCTCTTAGCACATAAAAATAATATTCAATAACAAGTGAACTAAGTACATTTTGTTGAAATAATACTACTAACAAGAGTTAAATGGTTGCAAACAAAATGAGTGTAAACAGTGGGGTGTAGGGTATGATACATTCACTATAATTTATAGAGAACAAAAGGAAGTTGAATTTTATCTACAAAGACAAAATGAAATCTTAATACATTAATAATTAAATAGTTTGTAACAAAACATTACATCAAGGTGAATATTCACTAGTGTGGTCAACAAGCAATAAACCTATGAGAACAGCTATTAATTTATTTCAATAGTGAACTTTGTTAAACTAAAAAATGATTAATGAGTGATAACTGTCATGATTTTCTAATTCGCCTGGTGAATAGTTACATTGTTAACGATCAATTTATCAAAAAAGTTCGTTTACGCCATTGATTAAGATAGATTATAGGAAACTTACATCTAACATTGGATTTTTGATATTCTTGAAACCATTTTGAAAGAAAAAATTGGAGAAAATAGATGGATTCAAATCAAAACATTTTTAATTGAAGAGAAGGGTTTTGGTTTTATAGGTGAGGATGTAAGTTTTCTTAGAAATAAATATATAACGAAGAGGAATGTAGTTAGTCAACCATCGTCAATGTAGAGCCTGATAAAGATGTACGTTAGTCCGAGTTATTTAATCATTACGAAGATATCCACAAACTGACAAGTAACTAGTCAGTCAAAAATTTTTAGACATTCCACAATCAAGTGCTATTTGAAACATTTCATCAATTTTCTGAACAGCATAATCCAAAAAACAAACAAATTACACGGCAGCTTCTGACCAATATTATGAGATAAAAGGATATTTTATCACAGAAATTTTACAACCAAGTTTTTTCACGGCTAATTTGATGTATCATATCTCCATGTCAATCGAAAAAATTAAATTCTAAAACTTTTATCATATTAGCAAAATCGAATCATTTAAAGTTTAAAAACATATTTCAGACAAACACCAATGCCCAAACAGACAAGTGTGAAAGAAAGCTAAACCATAATAAGGTCGTACAGACAAGTAATAAGGAAAATGGCAATTTGAAGGTAAGCATCGTTAAAAACTGAGTATAGCCGTAGATAAGCTTATATCTAGAGAACAGTTGTGACCAGAAAAAGCTCTATTATGGTTGATCAACATAACTAATAAATAACTTGCTTATTACTTGCTAAAACTTAAAAAAAAATGATATGGGCTGAATCATGGAAGAGAATAAGACTACAGATGAAAATTTTATTATGCACCGACAATATATCAACAACAGATTCAACTACTGATTAACTATGCTAGAAATGCCCTGGATTATATACATGGTTTATTCAACTAGTCGATAGTCAAATTTAAACTCACTGAACTGGAAAATACTTGACATTAATTCACCAGCAACTGAATTTACACTAATTTACACTAATATAACTAACAATGAATTATATATATGTTCAATAGTAAGAAAAGAGATGAATAATAGTTTTATTAAATTTGGAGCTCTTCATTCGCGTATTATCAAACACACACACAACATACAACTGAAGACTTAAATGGATAACACTGAAGAAAAACGTTAAAGTTATCCTGTGTATCGATAATGGTTCACAATTACGACATAATAATTATCTCAATAAGATCATTTAATAGCTTACTCATTAGTGGCTAGCAGTAAGATGGAGTTTTCAAGATTCTAGAATCGTAAAATTTAGGAAGGGATCAGTAATTAACCAACCACATTGGATAAGAATCATGTGGAGGTGGATTACTGAATTTGATTTATTAGTTCAAAACTATTGTGCTCAATGTGAGATCTGCAGGTCAAGATACGTTCGATTCCACGTAGGATGACTACGGGTATTTCTCAACGGTCCCAAAGAGTTAATTGTTCAACATCACTTTCTGGATGTGTTCAGTGTCCTTTCGTTTATACTAGTTTGACAAAGATCACCATTCAAAATTTACAAAAAATCCTACAAAACCAATTTACACATTTTTGAAACCATGAATCGATCAATGTTAGACCACCATTAGAAACCTGGAAGCACCGGACGGCCGTTTCGTCGTAGTGCAGTGCGCATCCACGACTCTTGCACCCCGCAGGATTCGAACTCAGGACCTTCGGTATTGTGCGTGAACGCCTAACCTCTGGACCACTGAGCCCGTATCCAATGGTGTTAATATCTAACTTGATCAATTCACGGAGTTGCGCAACCTCATATACACTCTTCGGTAGTTACTGTCTACATCCGAACAGGTTAAACTTCACTGGTCACGACTTCCCACTAGAACTCAGAGGTTAGGCGTCCGCGCACACTACCAAAGGTCCTGAGTTCAAATCCTGCGGGGTGCAAGAGTGGTGGATGTGCACTGCACCACGACGAAGCGGCCGTCCAGTGCTTCCAGGTTTCTAATGGTGGTCTAACATTGATCGATTCATGGTTTCAAAAACGTGTAACTTAACAATCTTCACAACCCCAAAATGCAAAAACCAATTTAGTAAAAGATTATTCGACTAAACGGTGTATAAAAATACGAAAAGAATAAGTCTTAGACAGAAACTGTAAATGAGTTGCATACAGCATACCTATTTATTTCATTTATTCCATGAAGTTAATAGATAATTTTTATAATTTTATGACTGCTACAAAACTACATGAAAAGCTTATTTTTACTACAAATTGTGGCATGTATACCATTTTTGTAAAGCTCACTTACTATAGTTTTGAAACAGTTTATATAGAGTGTAAAATAAACAAATTTCAGGTAGTACCTAGTAGAGAATTAATGAATTCTAAATGATGTTGTTTATTGGTATTTGATATCATCTGTTAAGGAATAAAAAGGCTTAAATTTTTAGTCAATGAATAAGCAGAATAGTGAATAGTTTGTCGAAATTGTTTGATCCACGTGATTACTCTAATGTAACTCGATTTTAAAAAGAATAAAAGCGAAAACTGTGAATTATGTACATAAATACGTGTTAAAATTTAGTCTGAATGCTTAACCTGTTAACCAAATAGCACATTTTTACTAAAACTTATATAATGTGTGACTGGCTTAAACAATGTAAGCGATGATAATTATTTTAATTGTTAACTTTTCAATTAACAGGTTTATGTTTAAAACTTTAGGTAAAAAAAGGCTTAAGGACATAACTCAACAACATGCATATATTCCAAATAATGTGAAACTTAATACCAATTGACTATCATGCTTAATACTGGCAATAAAAGTTGGATGAATAATAAATTTATAAGATTTCAAATGATGTTTTAGTAAAATTTAATAACATCTCATTCTAATGAATATATATATATATATATATATATATATATATATATATATATATTCAGGGAGAGAGAAAGGAACATAGATACAAATACATATTTGAGCCATAAATCATTTACGTTAAGCGCTAAAAACCCAGGTAAGACATAATAAATACTTTTGATTATGTTTTAAAAATTTCATTCCAGGAAAAATACTGCTATTAATATTAAATTACTAAGCTAAAATAAATATTGGGATTAGAATCTAAACATTCTATGATACCATCTTAAATTATCATATTTCACTCGAATTTATCGGTCAGAATTATGTGAGCCAATATTTAATTTAGTATTTTTCTCCAAGGGAATATAGGTAGGCAAAAACATGCTGTTCACAAAAATCACAAACGAAAACCAATCGGGAATCGAACAAGTAAACAGATATAAAATCAAATTGCTTACTTCAGGACTGTTAATTTTTCTCATAAACTCTTCATCCGGTTTTCCTAATAAGTTGAGAATCAACTGGATTTGATGAATATGATTGCCACCCTTAAATAAAGGTACACGATTTCTCAATTCAGCCATAATGCATGCTACAGACCAAACATCAACTAAAAAGAAAAAGAAATTTGAATCGATATGAAATCATTAAACTTTTTATTATAATACACTTGCTTGATAACTTATTAAGAAGATAACATGTAGATAATTTAAAGTACACAAGTTACAAGATTAATCATTTTAAACATATCAAATCGATATCCTTATCTAATTCCATTCAACGTTATTACTAATGCAACTAGATAAAACGGCATCTAAATAATACGAGAAAACCGATATCAAAGGAAGTGGACTATCATAAAAAAACAAATCAAAGACAGTAGTAAAGCACGGAATCGATAATATGAAACAATAGGCCCCTCGACATTTCGAGGACAAAGTATACATACATCTGTGTCAGAGATAGATCTCGAATCTTAACAACCGCTGGGAAACATTTATGATGGCTCATCCGTATTTGTTGTTTTTATCCTCTTATTGCTGGCACTGCATTTGATCATTCCCTTTTGGGCTGAGTGCATCCCGTACGGAATGCCTAGATATTGTCACTAAGCTACAAGCATAATAAACGGATATTGAAGGTGGCTAGCAGTGGAATTTACGGTGTGCGTTTCATCCTATTCGGGACTTGTTAGCTGGATGTAACTGCAGGAAAAATCAATAAATTAAGGCAGCAACTTTGTGAATGATATATTGTTTAGAAGATTAAACTGGAATTACAGCTGCTGTATTCCATGAAATTACGAATTGACAAATAAACTGATTAATCACCAAGATATTCTCAAAGATTGTTCTTTATCTATGCTACTGACAAATGAGCTTCTTTTATGTTGTTGTTGTTGTTGACAATAATAATAATAATAATAATAATACAATCAAAAGCAGCATGAGTTTGATATTTATGAAGAAATATAGAGATTAACACTGTTATAAGTGAGAAGGAATGAAAAAACTGATAAGCTGTAAGAATAAGCATAAATTTTTATTACCAGATTCATTATAATGCATCCAATTCAACATAACTTCAGGTGCTCGATACCAGCGAGTTGCAACATAACCAGTCATTTCTTCTTGTTTCTGACGTGCTAAGCCAAAGTCAAGAATTTTCAATTCACAATCTTCATTTACTGCAATATTAGCTGGCTTTAAGTCTCGATGAATTAAGCCAATACTGTGCATATACTAGAGAAATAAGTAAAATGATATGATATGATTACATGAAATAACAGCGTGTGTGTGAGTGAGTGAGTGAATAGGATAATAAATCAATCATTAAGTGAATGAAGAAAAAAAGTACAAAAAACCTAGAGGACAACACGACTTTAATTTAAGCAACTAAGAAATAATACTTGATATTGGAATCCTTTTATTACATGAAAATTTAACGTGACAAGCATTTCAAATAAATGCCCAATACATATAGATGGATAAAGAAACACAACTAATAACTTCAAGATTTAGACGTGAAATTTCAGTTACAACGAAATTATTCACATTCAAATTTCTTTATAAGTTTTCATGTTTTACATGAGCTCCGCCTCGGAATATGATTGGATAGTAAACAGATGACTTTTTGAATCAGTCAGTCATAATCGACGTAAAAACTTTCATAAATCTAGATTAGTTCATTACCACAATGAGATGAAAGCAACAAGATGAATGGCAAACTAGTTTAAATAATATTTGTTGCTGTGATAATAAGAATAACTAAGCAATCAAAAAGGTTGAATAAAAACATCGTAGCTGACAATCGAATAGATGAAGAGTGAATTCATCTGCACTATTGCTGTTACTTCACGAATCTTAATCTGGTACGATCTACCAAGATGGTTTAAATCAACAGTCAATAACTTCGAGGACTGATGATATGTTTTGATTTAACCCTTCTTAGCTTCCTTCTAATTTACTCTTACAACAGCTAATATTGCCTGTCAGGGTAGGTGGTTAATAGTTGGATATAAATAACATGTATTCTAACTACATCAGTCGATGAGAATTTACACCTTCAACCAGTTTGCTAATTTGCCTAACCTGGATATTGCTCACTGACTGGTTCCCAGAAGAAGCGAGTAATGATTCGAAGACTCGTAAGATCAAAAACATGCAGACGATGTATGCCGTATACTTTCATAGATAATGTTCTACAGTCGTAAAGAAATATATAGCAGCCCTCTGTGAATCAGAAGTCTACCTTTGGTTAATGGATGCACAACTCGCCTACAGGGCAAGTGGATTATTTGGAATACAAGTTAGAGACAAGTGAAAATGGTAAAACATAAAGATTCAAGACTAAGAGTTTTCGAGTACCGTGTAATCATAAGCCACTAAAAGCCTAAAAATACCATACCATAAATTTCGACTCCATTTTAATATATTCATTACAAGACCAAAATGTACGAAATTTCCGGCTGCTAACAGTCGATGATGTATAGTGCTTAACTACAAATTACAGCGAGTTATAGGTATCTTTGAAACTAATTATATGTAAAGAGCTATTCAGTCTACGTGTCTATTTGTTTTTCACATTAAATCTTACAAATTTTCTATAGACTAAGTAAAGAAGAAAAAAAAAAACTTGAGCTCATCAAACTTAGCCATTCATCAGGTACGCTTAATCGAATAGTCAAATTTTACCAGTTTGGAGGATATACTTTTCATCATTAAATGCTTGTTTCCGGTGACTGTTTTTGGGATTATTGACATTTACTATCATTGATACTAAACATAAGGTTTGATGATAAAAGATTTTGGAAAATCGAATAATAATTTGATACGAGTGACTTTACACGATGTAAAACATCCGTTGACATTTTGCTAAAGCATCTTTTAAAATTTACAGAGTAATAACTGTAGTCTAAGCGAAACACATTATGGTAGTCATATATCCCGAAGATTTATCTAGTCGTTAACAATCAACAGATAATCAATGACATACTGTGAGTTTCAACAGACCTACCTTTACTTAACTGTATAGCTTACAGAAACTACGTATTAGAATTAATTTAACAACACAGGCAATTTACTAAAATGACAATAAAATGCACTCCTCTGTATTAATTCAACGTACTTTTAAACCTCGTAAGATTTGATACACAAGAAAACGTATTTGTTCATCAGATAACGACTGAGTTTCAATGATAGCTCCAAGATCAGCACCCATCAACGGCGTTACTAGATAACTGGTAATAAAAATTTGATCAAACATTAAAAAATAAAACAACTACAAAAAGTATGTATTCACCGAATTTATGGCTAGAATATCAGCTGGTTGAGAATAATATGAAATTATTTGACTCAATCAGGTGACTACGCATTTAGGATTAACTGACATACTTATTTCTAGTTTCTCAGAGCACGTTCTTATCATTTTATAACATAAGGTTGTATTACCCTCAGAAACAAACAGACTATACTTAATTTCGCCTAGCCATCATAGCTATTGATGACTGACTTACTGAGACCTTCAGATTTATTAAAACGATAATCATCATCATTCCTCATATTCGTACAATAGTTAGGAAGTAATTGAACTTCACATTTAACATCAATTAACCCATTAAACAAACCATCAAATAATGGATTTACTGTAAGGCTTAGTACATGAATCTATGTAGATACTGGATCACAAACTGGCCAATAAAAAGCAGACCACAGTCATAAAAATCTTACTTTGCCAAATTCAGGGTACTAATCAATTTTAGTGTAATGAACGAATACGTCAAGATCAAATGGAATATACACATATATTTGCAGAATGCACAGTTTGTTCGTAAAACATGTACATCTTATCTTCAGATATCCATTCTCAATAAAAGATTATTGACTGTGTTCCGGTCTTCAAATCACTTTGATCACACCGCGCATTGCGGTCTGACACACTTCCCTCCGGTAGTAACTTGTGGGCAATGCTCTGCTGAATACGATTTAGAAGCCACATTGCGAGTAGCAATAAACTTGAAAAATTTCTCATTCCAATGTTTGGTCTCAAAGTCATCCGGATTCATTAACATCATCAACCTCATCGTTTCAGTTTTTCCAACATATAAATTGTTACACTTTTTGTTTGAATTTACTTCACTAGTAATCATTCCAGCAGTGAATCCGCAATTGGAGACTGAATTACACCACACAATTTTCAAGCTTTCACAAATAGAGGTGCCATACGGTTGTAGTTTCATGCAACAACCCTTTAGTTTTTGCAACCTTTATTGAAACGTTCCATTCTTTTGAGAAAATTCATTTCCTAAATTGTTCCAACCTCATAAGCGGACCTCAAATTCTTACAAATTTACTGCGATCGCTACGTCTCATCTAAACTATGTCTGCCCCAGTCTGTAACTTATTGGACAGGAGAGGCATGCATGATTTAGTTAAACGATAACGAATTGGTATTTACTATATTTTATCATCAACTCCTTCAAAATACCGTCATGTGACAGATTTGAAATAGCATTTTAAGTCACAATCAGTAAATTATTATTCCTATCAAAATAAATTCCTTTAAAAATTAGATTCTAAACCTTAATTTTCAACATACATATCTGTAAATTCTTTTAATGATGTTTGCGGTGAAAATGCATCAATCAAACAAACGATCTATAAGAATAAAAAGAAGAATGAGAAGAGTGCAAATTAAACTGATAATCATGTGACACTAAAAAGACTAATATCAAGAAATGACTGTTAAATTTTAGTAGTCTGCAACACGATGTGTAGCAAGCATCTATGATTCTCTATTGCTAATTACAAATAAATAATTGATTTCTTTTTACTGATTCCAATCCATTTCAAAACGTATGCTAAAAATGACATAACACCGAAATTCTAGTGCTAAAACTAATTCGTTATTAGACAAAAAGGTTGACTGGTGGAATGTCTGTTGAAAAATCAGGTAAAAACAGCATACGATGACTATATAATTGATTTAAAAGTCTAGAGATGTCAATCCGATTCTCAATCAGTCACTCAGTTAAAATGTAGGACTTCGTACGTACGTACGTACGTACGTACATCAGTTCAAGTTGCTATACTACATTACCACAGAGACAGCGTTGTCGATTCGAATCCCATAGTAGTAGAGGTAGACGAAGTATTAGCAGTAATCGGAGAGATTAGGGTTTGAAGATGTTATCCAAGAAGTATGATTCAGTGATGTAAATTTAAGAAGAGAAAGATAGAGCTGATGAGAAGATCAGAAGGTTAGAATTTCATAAAACACAAAGAGTGGATGCACTTGCGCCATTGCAAATGGTTTTGAGCCATGTCATTCAAGATCTCTAACCATCGAATGTTATCATCTCGCGGACCCCAACCAGGTAGTAGACACCTACAAACATGGCTCAGTCAACTTGTCAGTGACTCCATGGATTTCTGCCATGTTTTGGTTTGGCTACAGCTAGCTTTCTTCCAACCTATCCTTAAACCACAGAAAGTAGCTCTTCGAGGCAGTCGGTGGTTGGGCATTCGTAACACATGTCCCAACCACCTCAAGTGATAAAGTTTCAATACTTCATCTATTGATTTTCCCTCCCTACCTAGGACTCGTATTTTAATGACAGCATTGCTTACTAGGTTGTCCTAGGATATACGAGCAATGCTTCGAAGACGTCCATAATCAAACACTAATAACCTTTCCATGACTGACACTGCCACACAACAACTTTAGTTAGGTGTCTAAGTATTATCGAGGTTAACATTGAGGACAGCATTTAGGTTAAACTGATTCTTCTGTGAGTGTTACAAGTGGACTTTTGTACTTTCTTGTAAATTGGGACAATCAGCGATTGTAACCAGTTGGATGGGATTAAGCCCAGTTCCCAGATTCTACCTAAGATCTCAGTTAATCTAACTGCTAAAACTGCACCACCATTCCAAAAAAAATTCAGGGATGAGCCTGTGAGGCCCTGCTGCTTTCCCTCGTTCTAGATTCATTATAGCTTCCCCAACTTCCTAAAGATTCGGAGGGCTAGCATGGATTTGCCTTTGACGTAAACTCTAGATTGTGGGCAACTAAAGTGTGGCTGAAGGCCAATTGGACTAATCTCTAAAGTGTTCTGTGCATCAATCCAATCCCCTGGGTTAAGAATGAATGATACGACCTTTTTTTCCGAGACAGTTTCGCTAATAGATGGATTCCTAATACCGGTTTCCTTGATTAGGCGGAGCAGTTGTCTACTGTTACCCATTGCCGAGGCTTTTTTTGTCTCTCTCGCTTTTGCAAACCGCTACTGTTTGTGATCATTGAGTTGGCTTTTTATTAGCCTGCACTTTAGCTGACTCCGCCCTTCGTCATCTTCAGAGCCACATGGAATGTGTTTCTGAGAGTCTATCAGTTTGGTAAATGCTACTGAAATCCACCGCTTCCCCCTTAACCTATGTTTCACCTTACTAACTGATATCACTGCTGTTTCCACAGCTTTTTGGATAACGTTCCAAGCTGCCTCGGGGTGGGAATCACTAACATGGGCTGCCAACTGTATTTTTAGTTGCTCCTGTAATATATCATGATGTAAAACCCTAAGTGGTTTTCTTGCAGTGTCTTTCTTACGTCCAATAAGCCTCAAACATATACGCGCTCGCACTAGAGCATGGTCTGAATCTAAACAAGTGCTTCAGAGTGGGCGGCAGTCTTCAATAGAGCATCTCCACCGATAGCTTGTTGGATCCAGTGTTGAGTCGGCTCTGGCGGTCGCCATGTCAATAATGTTTTTCTTTATGCTTCAAATTAGTGTTCACTAGAAATAGGCGGTTATCTGAGCATAACTGTAGCAGACGGTTGCTATTGTCTGATCGATCGGCCGCGACACCATAAGATCCACCAAGGTCTTCCTTTAACATACAGTGTACCTACTTGAGCATTGAAGTTATCATCCATTATTACTATATCAGAGAGCCTAACCTTTTGGAGGAGGTCCGAAAGCTTTCTGTAAAACTCATCTTTCACCTCGTAATAACAGTCAGTGGGAACGTAGGCAGATACGACGAAGAGGCAACGGCAAGTGTCCCCATCTTTCCGAGTACTTACTATCCGGTTTACTAGGACAGCGCACAAACGACTATCTACTGGGATCCAGTCTAAGAGAGCTAGTTATGCCTTAAGACTTAATGCTAAACCTACACTCGAGAGGTCACGGGAAGCAGAAGCAGGGCTTCTGGATACACGGAGCGTAAACCGAGTTGGTTCTGTATTTGGACAAGGTGAAGTCAATTTATTCACTGTATTCCGATCTTGTATGAGCGTTTCAGAGACGCATCATACATCGATGGCGCGAGATTCTAAAGTCCTATCTAAAGAACTTGCTTTCCCATTTGATACAATATCCGGACATTAAAAGCTAGAATATGTAGTTCAGAACGGGATTTCAGGAGACCAAGGAAAACGTTTGCTCAACTCGAAACGTTTGCATCAGCGGCGCGGGGTGATAAGCGAATGTAAGAAAGGCGAGTCGTGGAGATAAGAGGGATATTAGGGGTGTAGGAAGGATTCGATTGTGACCAATTCGGTCTCGCGTGCTGTTACGGGTATGGGGGCAGTTGTCACTTCCCGGCTTCCCACATCGTGGAAGGGTGTTTCTTGAGGGACCTGGAAAGGAAATCAAGTTAGTATTGGTCTGAGCGACATGGCAGCGTGACCACAGAGTCTAAGGGACAACTGCTTGAGGCCGGTCACGCACGGCCTTTTTATGGGAAGTTTACAAAGTGTTAGCTCCGCTTTTGTTTAAAAGGCGGAAATCCGTGAAGCAAGGTGAGACGTGACATTTTTAGGATCGACCTTTTCTAACCCTCCCTTCCTTGTAAGAAGGCAACATCGCTGCAGATGCTGGTTGTCTGAAGGTAACGCCTTACTGTCATCACACACCCCCTACAGTCAGTAGTACGACTTAGCCCTCAGACCTTAAGTTCCTGCTTTTAGTCTCATCGTTCTCCAATCGACCTGCCTGGCGTGGTAGAACCTACAGGAACATATGTTCCAGCCAATATAGCTGGGTTGGGTCATCACGATAGGCAAGCCCGACCACCACATCAAGGTAGCAGCTACGGTAGGGCAATTATCAATTATCAACAAGAAAAACGAATACTATCAAGAACAGCTCCAAAAGCCGTATAAACACAATTCGCTATGAATCCAAGCCTAATCCCGTTCAGAATACGAATCACGTCATTCTTTAGAATGACTTTATACCTTTCCGTAGTTCCTAAAATCACAGATATAACAATTTCCATTTTGAGAGTACAATCAGCTTCACCGGCAGTAATGTTGTCGATGCTGAGGGGTACAATACAATAATAGTACGATGTAATTGATTAATATAATTGATCCAGTAACTAAAACAGGTTACTAATAAACTCAACACCTTAAATATATTATGGCCAACTGCAACACTTTGCTGAATGACTAGTAAAAGGTCACTGGAAGAATTTTTATAATCATTTAGACATAAATTGATTGTTATTTATGTTAACGCTATAGTATTTGAGTACATAGTGATAAATGAAGCCACAACATAACACGCATAGGCAGATGTACAAGTTGTTTACTTTAAGCAAATCGGACAAGCTTGAAGGTTATAAACTGCCAACTGCAATTTCAAAACTAATTAAGTCGTAAAACACTAGGTATATACTCTTTTTAAGATTAATTAGATTAACTTAAAATTATCAGACAACTAGTCATTTGACTAGTTTCCTGACAAATTATAGACTCACTACTTTTACTCTGATGGCCAGAAACACATTTATTGACTTACATTTTCATGATCCATTTGAGATAAAATATTGATTTCTCGATATGTCCGTTTTGTATATTCAATATTTTCAAAGGGTCTACTTAACTTTTTAATGGCTACCCGACGATTTAACTTGTTATCATGAGCAGAGCTGTATATTTCAAGAAAAATAAATGGACAACAATAATAATTTAGTTCGACAAATAAATACAGTATTGGACATCTATTCAAAAATTTACAATCATATAATTATCATAACAGTAGTCACATCGACAATAAAAAAATGTAACGGTTAGAAGATCAAATTGACAAAGTATGCGCCAGAAGTCACCTTCAAAACACAATGAAATAAATATTATTGGAAAAATATTTGATAGAAAGTTTAAACAACCTACTTCCGAAGTGCCAACAATCAATGAGATACGACTTCGAACAAACATGAGATACAAATGCACGAAACTCTTTATAAAAAAGAGAACTGGAAATAGGATTCGGTGTCTTCAGTTTTTCTTTCACATTACAGATTCATACACTAGGTTTTTTTTGTTTTTAATACTTAAAACAGTTTGTACGATAAAATATTCCATCTGTGCAACACAAAATCATTAAAAATAAGCGTAATAAATATTTCACAGTATTCTATCAGTTAGCTATTTAGGATTTCGGGAGCTGCAACTAATATTGAATAGGAAAAAAGGTGAATTAAGATAACGCGATAATCGGAAGAGGTATATAAAAATGAAAGTGTAGTAAGCTTTATTTATGCTGACATACCAAACGGTTCCGTACGCCCCATAGCCGATCATTGAAAGCTCGTTGTATCTTGACGGGACACACCATTCTACTTGGTTTAATTGTAACGATACAAAGCCAGATTTCAAACTCTTGGCGGAAGACATGAATCTGAGAATAAGTAATCAAGAATGCATATGTCAAAAATGTGTACTACTTATTATTGATAGATAGAAACTAGCGTAGATTGTAACACAGCATTAAAATCTACTACATCAGACGATAAAAAGCATTATTATTGAACCTGTCTTTATGAATGAATAAGGGTCGTTTCTGAACTAAATGAGAAGCAAACTACCTAGTTTAATCTGATTTGTGGAACTTAACTGTTGTACAAGGACAGTAGTAGTTGCAAACTGCTTTTAGCAGGGAAATGCAAAACTACAATATTTATTGATGGTATTTCTATAAAAAAAAACGTCAGTGTTCGTTGTTGGTATTGTTTAGTACTGTGCATTATGTTACTATCATTAAAATCACGTGGACAAAAAAATACAAAATATATTTGCCGCGAAAGGAAGATGTATACGATAAAAAATCATAACACTTTATCCACTAGGAAGAAAGGATTTTAATGCCTAATATTTACAGATGGAAGAAATACATGTAATGTTTTTGTATATAATCACTTGAATGGCTTAGTCAACACTTTAAACAATAAGTAATGAACGAGGACAAATGCTCTGAAAGAGTCGAAAATATACAGCCTTAACTCAAAAATCATACAGGTATCCAACAACAGGTAAAAAACCTCAAGGTCTGAAATGTAATGTCGCCATTAAAATAAGCTTTAAAGAGCCATAATTCGTCAGCGGAAGGAATATTTGTTATTATCGAAATCAAGTTAATGGAAAGCCATGATCATCACACACTACGACCACAAAACAACAAAAGCAAGTAGAAAAAATATTAGAGAAAAAAAGTATGACAGGAGTAGATAAGTATATATTAGGTGAAAATATATTACGATTTAAACATACAGTTATTAAAAAACCCTACTGTATGATCAAGCCTTAATGGCAAGAATCATTTGATAAGCTTCATTTTCGATTCCATAAATTTTGTTCCAAATTCAGGGACATATTGCCATAATTCACTATAAGTGCCTTCCATTTTATTTTAAGATAACAATATATTCCCATAAATGGTGGTCAGAAAAACTGTTAGCATAGCTCAGTTCATCATTCAAAACCAGGTTACATATAAATTCCTAAAACTAGGTGAGATTGGTGCCTAAGTAACTGGATACTAATATTCGACAGCTTCTGACCCATAATGGTCTTCTCCAAATACTCAATGAGCGGTTTACATAAATGGAATACAGAATAATAGTAACAATCGCAACATCAAGCGATGATACAAAAAACTTAAATAGGATGACGAAGCGACAAGGGCTCACAGGGTTTATACATGTTTACCTGTATATGACAGGACAAAGCAATTGGTTCCGAACTTGCTGTAGGGCGTAGTACATAGGTGATGGACAATCCAAAATACATGTGCGCAAACCTCTGGGTAGATGACGCATTGTAATAAGATTAAAACAGATTCACGACAGACAATTTTTGGCACAATAAAACCTATTTCAGGCAGTAGTATCTAACAAGCACATATTTGAAATCGATAAGTAGACAGATATCTTGGTCAGATAAAACCGAGAGTGAGGAGTATCCACTATTACTCATGTGCCCTTACATGGATATATGTGCATAGCCATTGCCAGGAAAGTCCTACTAATAGCTTTAAGGGCGCTGTTTAAGGGGACGGAAAGCAAACGCTTGGTGATTAAATCACTTTGATAGATAAGAAGAATAAACCTAGAGAAGTTAAAAAACACTGGCTGCAAATTCTTTAGTGCACATATGTTCCAGGATCCTAAAAGTAACAATTGCGTGTGAATCTATTGTTCATATAAAGGGTTATTCAAAGAATCAGATCAATTAACTGATAAACCTCTATATTATTTAAGAGATTTAATGTGCGCTAAGAACATTTGAACCTCACAGCGAAACTGAATACCTAAGTACACATAGTGCTCAGGCTAATACTCTGATTGGAGAAGTCTTGGAATGTTTAAAACTACTGCCAAAATGAATTGCAAGTAATAAAATGGGAATCACGAAACGAATGAAACGCTATGATGAGAGCAATTGTGTAAAATAATTGAATTATTACTAATACATCTGCATAAAGATATCTTAAATTGCTTTTTATAAACGAAAGAAGTATGAAAAATTATCCACTAGTAAGGATGAGACAATATTTACAAATACAATTTGATTGAGTTGAAAGTAGCACGTCTGTTTGATGTTTCCCAGATGCGAAAAAAACAGCTAGTATACATTGTGTACAAAAAATTGGCATAACCAGTTACTTCAAATAATTTCAAGACATACCACATGTAAAGGGCCACAATACTCGGCTCTTTATACGTCGTCAGTGTACGAAAAACACGATTCTGATAGCGAATAAGCAGCAACCTATATATTGGTAAGAAGCATTGAGGAACTTATTAAGGGGTGAACAACGAAAATTAGGATCAGAATGTGTTATTCAATATTTAATCAACGCACTGGAAGAAAAAACAGACCTAAAAACGGCAGTAAGGGACGCAAACGGTTACAACGCACAGAACCAGATAAGGCGCGTGTTTCAATATCCAATATCTTTTTCATGAGCTAGTGTAAACCAATTTGATTTCTTCGCGCTCGATTCTTGTTCTTTCTGTACGGTTCCAGGTGTTCGGTAATGTCCAATGGATGGAATTCTAGCCACTCGACTGTCTAATTCTAGTCAGTTGGCAGTTGGTTGTGAGTTTGTATGTCTCGGGATTTGAATGAAACGTTTGTTTCAGGGCAGTAGGGTTTCTGGATACTCGCAGCCGTCACATTACCAAACCGGAGATCAGTTAGTTGCAATGTGTAGAGTAATAAGAGTAATAAGGATAAAATTCTAATGATAATATGAATAAAATTTCAGAACTGAGTATTATATAGATGAATTTAGTTTATTAATTGGTAGTGAAGATTGTGAGAGAGGACCAAAGTGTAAGCAAGGGAGAGGAACTTAGTGTGACCGCCATGTAAAAACAGAGTTTTTGTGCTAATTTTATCGAAAAATTTTACATAAGTTTTCGTATAAAGAGATTATATATTTTAATCTCTATAACATTAATGGGTTTTGAAGGCAGTTTCAGGCGCGAAAACTGGAAGTGTCCTATTGACCTGGAACTGGTTTTTAAATGCGAATGATGACTGTTAATGTAACTTCGTGCTTTCTATGCACACAGATGGTTCCTTAACCAAACTTCGTCTTTCTTATTGTCCGTAAACCACGAAGAAAACCTGTTACAGTATATAGGACGATCAGTGACAGGAGACTTGCTGGTATCTCCCAATATTAGGCGGGCCAAAATAGGAAGTGTTGGAAAATCTGATCAATGTAAAAGATATAATGTTGGCATCGCTTTTGCAACGACGGTAAAAATTAAGGAAAATCTATGGCAAAACTGATGATCTGTTCCGAAAAAGTATGTCAAGGAGAAACATGGCAAAAGGGAGTACCGATCATGGATGAAATTTATCGGTTTTCCTTACACAAGCCATTAGGCTCTTCTGAATTATACAATGGCCGTGAGAACACAATATTTTCTTTTTAGATAATCCCGGAATTCCGGATGGTGACAGTATGATGGTATACATTTACGAAGATTACACAATAGCTGAAATATAATATATAATATAATATACGTATATTATTGTACTTAATTCTGACAGTAATTATTATATTATACTCCTTTTGTTTATCTGTGTTTATCTCTCGCGCGCCAAGCATTTTATTCCTTTCTCCTTCTCCTTGGTTTTTGATAGCCGATCCTGTACTATAGTCTCGTTATTATTTCAATATCACGGGACTAGCGATAAATAAACTTCTTCATCCAGAATAGTCTTTTCTTTGACTTATGGATTATCGGGCTTCACCTTAGCAATCCCTCGAAGGCGTATTTTTATTTTAACGCCCTATTACGGTATCTGGAGTGACATGAGAATTAGGACTCAAATCCTTTGAAGCCTGAACATTCTTCAAGACTAGAAACGTATTCGAGCAGCCATTAGATTTACCACTATATAAAAAAATTAGACTGAGCTTGTTAGAATGGTACCAAAAGGTTGAGAATAACGTAAATACTTGTCGGAGTATTCCTATATTTCCGGAAAAACATCTTGTGTTTATGTCCAGTGAAAAGAGTGGTAAAGCGTCAGAGTGATCGAGTTTTTATGGAAAAGCACACTAACAAGATGAAACCAGGTCCTGAAGACTCCGTTACTTGCCATCTGTCAGTCATCTTTTAGTCCAGAGCAATCTTGTTCAACCCAACACGGATAATAGCATATTTGACGTGGTTATAAGCTGTAAGAATGAAAAATGGGAAAGTTCATCATTATGGATCATTGTAGAACAAACTTTCACCTAACTCTATTATTCTATAGTTCAGTTAACCAATGGGTCTGTTTTAATTAAGAAGAAATAATGATTTATTGACTGAAGAGGCTCAATTCAGGTTAAGCCATTTAGCATCGTTTCTAATAATATTCTTGTGGCAACACCATCGACCATATATTTCGTACTAAAACGCAAGAGTAACGTCAAAGAGATAAGGGGCGTTTTTCGAGAGAATTTTCGTGTCAAACTCAAAATACCTGCATTCGAACGTCGGACAGGAAAAAAATAATTTGAGAACTCATTTCGTCACATGACTTGAAGACGAGTCTTAACTAACTAATGAGGACCTTCCGAAAGAAAGTTGAACCGGTTACATGACTAATACAAATACACGATTGCTCTGATGTCAACCAATTTATTCTACCTTATTTGAATGACATCCAGCTAAGTGTTAGAAAAAAATTAATGAAACCGTAACTCGCTAAGTCGCCAGGTTAGAACGAATTGCGCCCAGGTATTATAAATTACTGGACTGATATGTCCTGCCAACTTTTTTCAGTATCAGTGGCCTTCAGTACAATCAAACGCAGTAAAATTTTCACTTTTTAATCAAGTGGTCATGTTCGCCCATGAAAATGCACTTCGCTCTCAGTCTTGACATACTAGTGGAAAACGAAAATATCATGGCAGAAATATCCTACTGCAGTTATTCGATTAGGAACATTTCTCATATGATAAGCATTTGTATGTGTATTTTTTCCTCGGTGTTGATAACACTTTCGGTTTATTAACATGTACTCGAGACCTGTCTATTTGCCAATTAAATGAATGTCTACAAAGTTGACAGCTCTGTACCGAATCCATCTTTTGCATTCAAACTGGAAAAACTGAATGTCAATTAGAGTATCGTCTTACGATTTATGATATTTCAGTTAATTCTGACCGAATCGTCAATTAAAGTACTAACATGACTGTTTGTGCCGTTTTATGTGACAAAGGTAGATTTTCGATGACGACATACGTAGTAATAGAAGGTCCTACATACTGAAGGGCAGATAAATAGGTACTAACATACATCCAAGCCAAGAGTCTCGTGTTTATAATTCCGGTGCCCAAGTTTCGTTTTAGAATCTAATCGCACACTAATTAAACTCTTCATTATTTTGACTTCTTTCTCCGGACACGTTCCTTGCTCCTCTGGTTGGGTTACAGTTTCCTGGTAAGCATAATTTTAGGCCTCCTGATCTCTATTTTAATCTTGAATGTAATATGATAATTACAAGTAATGGTATTCTTTATGAGAACTAATAGTACGCGGAACTGACCGATTTGTACTTTATTATCCGTATGTGGACCCGTATCAAAATCAAAAAGAAGTCTGCAGTCCCGAACGAAGGTGTAAAGTTCAGTAGGTGAGGATATGGAACTAGATAAAAGTGAGTCAATGACTCGTTGAGCAAATAGAATGCACGTATATTTAACAGAGAAAGCAATAAATAAAAATCATCCATAGTACAAAAATGACATTACGACAAACTGATAATTTTACTAGGTGTTGGTTGCTTAGTTTCGGATGCATTCTTGATAAGATATCCAAACTGGACGCGAAAAAATGAATAACGGAATCATCAGCTGATACGCAATATACTGCGAATGAAACTGATGCTCCTATGTCACGATAAGTTATTCTAGTAATATCGCTGTCAAACTCGCTAGGTAACGTGTATCATAGTAGCTAAGCAACTACCATCAGGCATCACGAATGTTACGAAGCCATTTTTTGCAGCAAGAATCATCTTCTTCCCTCCTCTCGCATAATCTTCACTACCAATTACATTACTTATTAATCCATTCATTTATTAAGTTCGGGAATCTTCCAAACTCCGCCTGGAGCCCATCTGAGGCTAATACCGGTCCCACGCCCGGCTAAGGGAGGGTGGTTTGGCGTGATAGCAACCCTATCTTGTTGAAAAGCGAAATTCATCACACACGCCAACCAGAAAAACTAATTAAAGCCATTGAAAATCCGCCCTAGGATGGAGTACGTCTTGATTCGGAAGAGTTATGACGTCTCATGATGAAAGCCAAGTCACTTCGGAATTCATGAGCCCGATGCACATTCAGAAAACCAGAGAAACAACTCTTTTAGGTTTATTGAATGAACGTAAAAATAAGAGGAGAGCTGATATAACTTCAAATCACCACTATTTGGTCAACATCGAGGAAGGGGCAGTAAAAACGGTTTAAAACCAAACCAGCCTAAATGTCACGTCATGTATATTCTGCCACATATTACGCTAATGATTCACACCCTCAATGGAAGTCCACTTCCTAGTGTCTCTTCACAGCGCGGTCTCTACACGAGCCAGAACTATATAGGGGACGCAGCCAAGGCAAATGCGACTCATCACTTTATGCGAAGACAACTCGGTTCTATTGCCTCACAATTATTCCCGATGTTATTTAAGACATAAGTGCGAGTACACCTGTATGTTCACAAGGACATCGCACCACCTCTGCTTAACAGAGACAAGTCTCTGGGATCGAGTACAGAGACGAGCAACCGAATGGGTGATAGGGTTGAAGAACAAACTTTACGAAGATGGACTCCAGAATTTGGGATTATTCTGTCTATGTAACAGGAGAACCAAAGGCGATCTGATAATGGCATAGAGCATATTCATCACTCCAAACCATCCCAACGTGAGCAACTAACAGAAGCATCAACACAACGCACCTCAAGGTAATCCTCGAAAAACTGAGCGTCATAAGGCGGATACTCGTGTTCATCCACAAGTTTTCTCATTAAGAGTCGTTGCAACGTGGAACTCTCTCCCAGGCGAGGTCACTGTAGCCCACCATGTGAACAGCTTTAAGAAGACTTGATAATAACGTGTTCACATACGCATTATCATCTCCCTCTTGGACAAGCTGTGCATGATGCATAACTCGAGACCAGCTAGTTGTTATCATTTCCATCTTCTCAGATCACTCAATTATTCTAGCTCGCCAATCATCTCTGTTTTTTCTCCCTTCATTACACTTCGGTCCTCTCTCACAAACGTCACTACTAATTAATAAACTAAATTATCTGTTTAATACTTAGTTCTGAAATCTTCTTCTAATTAGCAATAGAATTTCCTCCCTACCATTCTGCACACAACAACATACACATGTGCAAATAACTGATACCCGGTCTGGTGATGTGATAGCTGCTGGTATCCAGAAACCTTACGGCTCTGAATCAAACGTTTTCATTCAATTAACGTGACATAGAAACTCACAACCAACTGCCAACTTATTAGAATTAGTCGAGTGGCTAGACCCCATTGACTGTACATTAGCAAATACCTGGAACCGTACCGAAAGAACAAGAATCGAGCGCAAAGAAATGTTTTGTGCTAGCTAGTGTAAAAGATATTGGATATTTAAATATATTTCATTGCTCTGGCGGGATATATCGAATTTACGTTACTCCAAGTTAGGATGGTTTTTGTGAAGTTAGTTCCAACAAGATACTTTTCTCCTCAGTATTTATGTGTTTTTTATCATTTTTAAAAGTTCGTATTCGGCTTATTTCATGATATTGGTCAGATGGTCGGTGAATTTCGAAATCTTGTATGTACCTATGTGATGTTAGAATATTAAATCATTACAATGAAAAAGGTCGTTGTTTTGTGATCGTGTCACTTTTTCATACTAAATCATTTATTAAGATCACCACAGGCTTTTCTATAAATATCGGTCCGTCTATTCTTTTTTTTCCATTGCATATGACACTTCATATACGTTCACGGATTTTGACTAGGTCAAGCACTCGGATACAGAAGGCTCGATTGGCTTTTGCCAACCTGCGTCACTTATGGCGTAGGCGAGATATCCGTTTGCTGACTTAAGGACGAGTGTACCGTGCAGTGGTTCTCTCCGTCTTACTTCATGGCTGTGAAACATGTCCAGTGAGAGTAGAAGATATTCGTAGGTTACTGGTTTTCGATCACTGGTGTCTTCGAAGCATTGCTTGTATATCGTGGGACACCCGAGTGAGCAACGCTGTTACTAGGAATCGGGTGCTAGGTAAGAATGGCAGATCAATCGATGAAGTGTCGAAACTTCATCAGTTGAGGTGGTTGGGACATGTGTTGCGTATGCCTAACCACCGGCTTCCTCGACGAGCTTTGTTTTGTAGTGTAGGAATAGGTTGGAAGAAAGTTAGGGGCGGCCAAACCAAAACATGGTAGAAATCCATGAAGTCATTGACGAGTGGACATAGCAACGTCGGTAATTGTCGACTACGTGGTTGGGGTCCGCGAGATAATAGTAATCGATGGTTAGACCTTGAATGAGATGGCTCGAAATCGTTCGCAATGGCGTCGGTGCATTTATTCTTTGTGTTCTCTCAAATTCTAATCTTCTGGGTTCTTCAACCCCTCTAGTTTTGACTTTCTAAACTTTTCTCACTGAATCATACTTCTTGAATGATATCTTCCAATCCTAACCTCTCCGATTACTTCTAATACCTTTACTACCTCTCTACTATTGGATTTGAATTGACAATTACATCTCTGTGTTGATGTGGTATGGCGACATGAACTGATGTACTTATGTACGAAGTTCTACGTTGCATTTGACTGACTGATGTCAAGCACTTACAATAGTGTGTTGCCTCACACAAAAATGTCACTCCATTCCTTGTTTAGGTATATTACAGTGCATTTACCTCATAGTAACAAGTGCTGGGGTAATGATGTATCTTTTTAGTGACTCGCTTTCTGGATGATGGTATATTCTATGGAAAAATTAATAAGATTCAGGACAGTTTCTTGAAATTTGCGTGCAATCCGTCCATCCATACAGTTTAATTGTACTTAATCATTATATATGATGCTAACTCGTGATGTAACTTTGATTGTGACTGCTAACTGTAGCTCTCTGCACTTAGTTATCAGCTTCTCTTTTCCATAGTAAGTAGGTAAATTCTGTAAAGGTCAGCTGGACATCACTCATAGGCTCCTAACAAGTTATAGTCACACCACACCACGTCCTACGGAAGTTGGCCATAAAGAATCCAGCTTGGGGTTTAGGCCTGCAAACGTTAGGACAGATTAATAAATCTTATCGTGAGTACCATTCAGTTATCATCGTTAAACCGGAATGCGAATGAAGCTTTCATTTTGTTCACCTATCTCATACGAAGATTAGGGTGCCTGTATTTTTTCATATTGATTTATTTTCAAGTAGTCTCATCAGAAGTAATGCTTCTCATAAATCTCCTTGTCAACATTTGTTATTTCTAGGTTAGAACCTATGTCGTTTTAAGAAAGCTGTAAGTTGAATCAAATAAAGTGGTTTCTACGGTTGAGTGCAGAATCACTGTATACCTTAGTGATTCTTAGTTACAGAGATTCAATATAAACTTCATGACTCATAGTAAAGAAGTGATGCAAGTTCCTTTTAGCCACTTAAAAAACTTCAGGGAAATAGACTTCATCAGTATGGTATCAACTAATCATTGTTTTCAGTGTTCTTTGATACATAACTAAAAGACCGTCTTCGATTTTCGGTTGTTACTGTTTGACACTATTTGCACAATTACGCGTAGTATTTCAGATACTGAATATTACAAATTTGTATCATTATCTGTAATGCTATTCTTCCTTAACAACTCGTTGTTGGGTTCCGACAGGTCACTATTTCGTTACTATTCGACTTCTCGGGCTCTATAACAAAATATATTTAAATCTTGGAAAGGTTATTATTATTTAGCCTTTGGTGATCGCAATATGACCAAAAGTTTAACTACAGCTTTCAACGAAGAAATTGCAAGGTGCTTCACGAATGACAATGTTTTCAAGGATTCTAACGATCAGAGTAAGCTTCAGGATAAGACAAAAGTGTTCGACTCGTGAGTCCCTTTGATTATAATTTGAATGTTTGTAGCAGGCAAATTTTAGGTTCACTACTTAGTCACAACACATTCCAGCCAATACATTGGTTTGGAACGTGTTTGTATGGTGTTGTTCTTGAAGCTCTGGATATCAAGGAAGAGAAAGTTAGTTTCATAATATATTAATCTGAAGCGCTTAGCAACCTATTGATAGTTACAATCTAGATATACCCGAAGATGAAGCCATTAGTTATGCATTCGACCACCATTCGTTAGTAACATCTCAGCTGCCTGATTCATACGACGACATCGTCCAAACGGCCGACGAAATCATTAAGGAACTCGATATTCTCATGGTAAGCTCGAAGTAAACTTTCCTGAACTATTGCAGAATGACGATGATGAAGATGTCCCTTTATCACTGTGCAATATGGTTCAGTCGGAATATGAACGTCCACTGGTTCCAGAAAATATTGGAAATGAATGGCTTCCTGAAGAAGGTTTACAATTTTTGAAGTCAATAATATTGTTCATAAATTTTAGTTTTAAAAAAATTTCTTTAAAAATATGCTTACTCAGGACGTAGTTAGTTCATGCATCCTTCCAACTGCTCTCCTCTCAAATCAACTTTTTCAGTGTTTATCTAGTGTTCCTTCCTATTATCGGAAACGAAGATTTTGTTTGTTTGAACATCTCGCTTAGCGTTTAAAACAGTAATCACTGAAGTATTTATCAGATAAATTTAAATATAAATCTGAATACTGTATTTGCAACTATCCAGAAGCGTACATAGTATATTGCCTGAACGTGTACGTTGATTTTCTGTTTGGTGTCAGTGAACAAACTTGTGGTGTTCTTGTTTGATTGAGAAGAACGGAAGCACTAAGGGCGATGCTTCATGAAACTGAATTGCTCCATATGGAACTTTTATCGTCAATAGTACCATAAGTCATAAATGTCTAATGAATACTTGCTGAATATAGATATCATCAAACCTGAATTTATAGAAAAATGCACTGAAAAAACAACATGAACTTGGGTATAGGAAAATAATTAGGGAATATTTCGGTGTTTAAAATTCTAACGAATAGTGAATGCATGTACATTGTGTAGTTAATGGGCTCTCATGTCTGATTTGTAGCTTCTCATGAACCAAATCCGGTAAATTTACACTTCTTTGTATGTCTTAGATCAAAAGGTAAGTTTTACAAAGTTATGTAATGGGGTCTTCAACATACTAACTTTTGCTAACATTAGGCTTTGAAGCAAACGGTACTTTAACTTAATGCACTAATATATTAGTACGATATTAAATAAGGTAATTAAATTTTTCCTGGTTCATTGTTTTTTGTATACTATCTTTAACTTATTTACATTTAGCAAGTGTGAATTCATTTCATACCTGAAATTTATTTTGTTAAATGATTTTTGCTAATCGTCGCTGAAATTTTTACTAATCGTTTGGAAGCAGTTTAATCCTCTTTGCAAAAAAGAATGAAACTAGCATCTTTTTTGTTACCTAATCATATTATTTTATTGTGAATGAAGAAATATTTTCCTAGTATTCATTTAAAATTTTTAAATAACTTTGCTTTATGTGAATTTTTTGAAGCTATGCAAGATCTTTCTCTGAATGAACTCAATGCGTTACTAGAAGAGTTAGAATCTTGTGTGCGAGAATACTCTGCTATCCTTGTACAAGAATTAGCTTATCGAGAAGAATTGGATTTCGAGCAAGAACAGAAAGATATTTTTATTGCGCGGTTAAATGAATTGCATCGCCGTCTAGAGCGCCGGAGACGTTTAAGTATGCCACCTGATAGTCATATCCAGTTACTGTCGAACTCTATGTTGGTAAGAGACTATGACGAAGCATGCACATTTCAACAAAACAAAGTATTTGATAATGCGGGATTACCACAAAATTCTGTTCAGAAAGAAACCACACAGTTCATTTTACGTATGTTGTGTTAATACTTGCAATATTTGTGGTATATTTCTTTTTATTTATTTGAAATCATTTCGTACACATCTTTTACTATAAAATCATATTTTGCAACGTCTACACTAAGTTCCACCATTCACAAGACGTGATTATTTCATGTTTAGATGCAGTCGTCCGGTCAGTAGCAACGTACAACTCGATACATACGTACGTCAGTCCAAGTTGCCATACCACATTTACACTGAGATGAAATTGTCAACTCAAATCCTATATTGGTAGAACTAGTCGCAGTATTAGCGGTAATCGAAAAGATTAAGTTCAAAGATATGATTCGAGAAGTATGATCCTGTGAGGTTAATTTAAAAAGAGGAAAAGCGGTCATAAGTAATTCAGAGGATTAGAATTTGAGAGGAGACGAAGTGTTTAGATTACAATAGCTTCCCTTTATGATGCATGTTCAAGGGAGTTAAAGTCCATAAAGGCAACTATATAATATATTACAAAGATAATTTTTGTTATATACAGTAGTCGTTTTCTCGAATATTTCCGATTGAAGATTTGATTGTTTTCAGTCATTGAATATTCGTGGTGGGTTGTAATATTTATTTACAGAGCCTAGATCTAGTCACCAAATAAGCAGCATAAACATAATCATTATTTAGGCATAGACTTAATTTATTTAAACTCCGCCTGGAGCCCCTCTGGGGCTAATGCTGGTCCCAAGCCCGGAAAATGAGGGGCGTTGGCAAACCCATCCTATAAAAAACTAACTCGCTAAAAAAACGATAACCAGAGAAATCAATTCAAAACGTTTCAACTCTGCTGTGAGACTTAGGAGATCTTCTTTTAGAACAGTTTTGACGTCTCATGATGAAGTCACAGCTGTTGTCCATTCTGACAACCAGGGAAACCATCCTTTTAGGTACATGGAACGTTCGAACATTGTGGGAGACCGGAAGACCATTCCAAGTTGCTACAGAAATGAAAAGATACAAGCTAGAGGTGCTTGGAATCAGTGAAGTGCATTAGACGCAAGTTAGACATTTGGGACTCACTTCAGGTGAGCTGCTGTTATACTCCGGCCATCAAGAAGCAAATGCCTCACACACACAAGGAGTCGCACTGATTCTGTCCAAACAAGCACAAAAGCACTGGTAGGATGGGAATCTTATGGATCCACGATCATCAAAGCATCCTTCAAAACAAAGAAATAGGGTATTACAATAAACGTCATCCAATGCTATGCAACTACTAACGACCACAATGAGGACGGGGCGGAAAACATCACTGAAGTTTAATACCGTATTTCTTCCGGATACTGGAAAGCTCAACGAATTCAAGATAGCCCTCAGCAATAGGTTCCAAACCTTGCACGATCTACTCAATGGAGAGGAAACAACCTTAGAGAACAATTGGAAAGGGACCAAGGAGGCAATCACTTCAACATGTTACGAGGTTCTGAGCCACAAGAAGTACCATCACAACGCATGATTCTCTGTTGGTACTCTTGAAAAAATTGAAGAAAGAAAGAAGGCAGCAATCAATGTCAGCCAAACAAGAGCAGAGAAAACAAGGGCACAAGCTGAATACACAAGCAAACAGGTAAATAAAGAAGGGCATCAGAGCCGACAAACAAAAATATGTGGAAGATCTAGCAATGACAACATGCACAAACCAAATCACTCTTGATGGAGGTGCTTTGGTGGAAGTTGAAACCTTTGCATATCTAGGCAGCATCATTGACGAGCAAGGTATTTCAAATGGAGATGTGAGGGCTTGGATCGGCAGAACAAGCGCTGCATTTCTACAATTGGACAACATCTGAAACTCCAAACAAATATCAACCAACACCAAAATCAGAATTTTCAGTACAAATGTCAAGGCACTCCTACTGTATGGGATGGAAACTTGGAAGGCTGCCAGAGCCATCATCCAGAGGATACAAGTGTTCACCGATATTTTTCTACGCAAAATACTTCGGATTCGTTAACCAGACACCATCAGCAACAACCTACTGTGGGAGAGAACTAACCAGATTCCAGCGGAGGAGGAAATCAAGAAAAAACAGTGAAAGTAGATAGGATACACACTGCGGATAGCACCCACCTGCGTCACAAGACAAGCCGTGACTTAGAACCCTCAAGGTTAAAGGAAAAGAGGAAGGCCAAGAAACACATTACTCCGAGAAATAGAGGAAAATATGAGAAGAATGAACATACATTGGACCGAACTGGAAAGCGAACTCTAGGACAGAGTTGGTTTGAGAATACTGGTTGGTGGCCTATGCTCCATTGGGGCTAACAGGTGTAAGTAACTTGATTAATCTAATATACACACTAGCTTCATATTTATCAAGTTTAATTCATGAATGCTCTCTCGAAGGTATGAGTTCGACTTATTAACTAAACATCATGGTTTGGACTTTTCAAACCAATTTTTTTGTTGCTGGCTTTTTTGGACCATATATGACTTTACAGTAGAACAATTTACTTTTACTTTTACAATCCTCACTCAAGAATGATATAAATTGTTTGGTCATTACACAGATAAGGATATGTTAATGTTTAAAAATTAAACTTTATTTCCATTGTAGGAATCTTATTCTTAATTAAGAGTAAGTTACAGTAGCAAATTTTTGTTTTATTAAATTTTTGAGATTTTGAAATATTTAGACCAGTAAATGTACTATGTATTTATTTCTTTACGAAACACTATTTCTTCATTAACAGGTGCACAGTCAGCAGCGCACGCAGCGGTTGCTGCAACGTCTTCTGCCACAGTCGCAATAAAAAGACATTTGCGGAAGCTGAGTACATTTTCGAAAGATACTTCAGGAACGCCAACTCATAAGTCAGATCTACGAAATCCTATTCACACAGCATGCATTTTTCCAGTTGACGAATGTGACATGAACACCTCTCCAGAAAAAAATTGTCACACAACTCACTGTCCAACAACTATATCTGCACGAGCTATTGCTATTGCTCGTCTTCGAAAATGGGCCGGAAGAAAATCAAAAGGACCTTCAGAAACGGAGAACACCAGCACTTTCAGGGCTTTCCTTCGTCGTGGACGTCATCAAACAGAAGCACCAATAAACTCGTTTGTCCGTAGTCGAGAAGCTCGTTCAGCAGTTAACAGTCCTACCTCATCACAACTTGAATTCCCTTCAATACCTGCCACTTTAACCCACTCAGCTTCTGGTCATTTAATTGGGCGACCTGAACTGAGTTCGGATGATCTTGAATATAAGGTAGTCAATAACATTTTAATTATTAATTTTTTTGATATTTTAGATATTCATACTTATGTTAATAAATCTTGCCAAAAACATCTCATTTTCAGCAACTTAGGGGATATAAAGCTGCATCTTTAAAATAACTCATTTTTTGGTCTCGATCAATTATCTATCTGTAAATTAAGCACTGATCTATGCTAACTATTATTATTTTAACAACCTAGCAAATGCTCTCGTTAATTGAGGTTGTCACTCAAGTATTGTTAATGATACTTACATTGACAAGTTTCAGCGTCTGTACACAATCGATTTGGAAATATGTATATATAATGGTTTAATTGCTCAAAATCTTTGATTATGATGAGTTTCAATATTATTCGTACTTTCTGTTATACAGTAATTTTTTAAGAATTTCCTTATATACTACTACGATCTAGAGCTAATTATGTGCAAAGGCGAATGAAATTATCCGTTTTCTTAAAAAGATTAATCAGCCTTTAGCTTTCAATGATGCTACTGACAATTCATCATTCTTAACTGCCACTAACTGAAAACTTCATGTTGTATTTTGAATAGTATGATTTCATTTAAGACGTCGATTAGCGTATTCATCAAGTGACTTCTCTATGTCTGTTGCTTTGCTTCATTTAAGTTTGTTCTGCGGTTCAAAATAATGTACCAATTTAATGTTTTTGTTGGTTGACAGTTTATATTGAGTTTCGTCGTACTGGTAATAATCAAAGTTTAATTCCTAATTAGGTTTTTCACTGAGTAGTAAAGTTATTCACATTTATGTTACCATAATTCTTGTTATAATCTACTTTGACAATACACGATTAGATGTCGAGCGTTTCCTATTGAATGATTGTGAAATTTGCTCACAAAGAGGTTTGTACGAATAAATATTCATGTGTTATACTATACTGTTTCACCATTGCGTGATTTTGATATATCTTGGGACTAAATGTAACAATTTTTCCAAAAATTCGTCACTATTTGAACAAGTAATTTACGAGAAACTGGGTGCTAAGTGTGTAAAAAACATTTTGTGAGTGAGTGAATCAGTCAGTCAGTTGGACATACTTGAGCATTAAAGTTACCAGCCATTATTACTATATCAGAGCGCTTAACCTCTTGAAGAAGGTTAGAGAGGTTTCTGTAAAACTCATCTTTTATATCGTCTGAACTGCAGCCAGTGGGAGCGTAGGCAGATACGATAAAGAGGCAACGGCCAGTGTCCCTATCTTTCCGAGTTCGTACTGTCCCGTTTAGTCGGACAGCACATACGCGACTGTCTACCGGGATACAGTCAAAGAGCTATTTCTGCCCTAAGACGATACTATACCTATATCAGCGATGCCACGCGAAGTAGCGGCCAGGCTTCCAGATACACCGAGTGTAAACCGAGTTGGTTCTTTGTTTAGGCGATGCGAAGTCAAATTGATGTTGATTACTCGGATCTTGTAATATGCATTTCGGAGACGTAAAACACGTCGGTAGCACGGGATTCCAAAGTCCTAGCAATTGAAGCCTGTTGCCCTGTTTAACGCAAGGTTCGAACATTAAAAGCTCCAATATGTAGTTTAGAGTGGGGTTTCAGGAGACTAGGACTAAGGTCTTGGGCTCGAAACGTTTGCTTCAGCGGCATGAGGTGACAAAGGAACGAAAGAAGGATCGGTCGTGGAGATAAGAGAGTTATTAGGAGGCTTGAGAGGGATTTCATTGTGAACGATTTGGTCTCGTGTGCTTTTACGAGTATAAGGGCGGATGTTAATTCTTGGCTGCCCACACTGTAGGAGGGTTCTGATTGTCAGAAGGGACATCGGGCTTGTGACTTCCGAAGGAACTCAACTTTCATTATAAGACGTCATAACTCTTCTAAAAAGAGACTTTCTAAGTCCCAGAGTAGAGTTAAAATGGTTTAAATTATTTTTTCTTGATAGCGTTTTTTAGCGAGTTAGTATTTTTGTGGGACGGGGTCGCCAACCCCAATCCGAACCGTCCTGCTTTATCCGGGCTTGGGACCGACAGTATCCCCAGAAGGGTTTTAGGCGGACTTAGATTACCATATCAACATGTCTTGACATTACAAGCAAAAGTGACCGAAGACTCAATGATTATATTTGTTACTGTTATTTGTTTATATTGCTATTCACATAACGTCTACTGAGATCAACATATTTTGGGTTTAATAAAAGTGTCTAACTTTACGTCGTTTCCCGGTTCGTATTAAATTCAAAATCAGAACAGTGAGTGGTAACTATTACTTGTACTGTTGCAACTAGTAAATACATTCTTATTTTGTGGTTAGTTGTGTTCAATACGTTCCTATAACACCGTCATTCTAAACGTGCTGTACTGTCTTTACAGTTGGATTATTTGAAATGATTTAACAGGATAAAAATTATATAGTTAAATGTTAGACGCAAAATGTGTAACGCTTTGAAGATATGTTTTTATGCAGTTTGAAATTTGTGTTGATAGCGATAGATTCAATGATGAATCAACCTGAGCATGAAAGTCACACTGAATCGATATAGCGTGGGACCGAGGATTGTAATATATCCTAGCCATATGTTTAAAACATGATGACAAAATGTTTATTAGTTATTGTGTTCAAACTTAAGTCTTTAATTTCTAAATTCAGTAGACAGTAAATTCATAGTTACTGCTCGATCAGCAGCTAATCTGCAGGTCAAGAGAGTTTCATAGCTTGTTGACCGTACCCAAGTACTGTTCATTGAAATGGACACCTAAACTGAGATTCCATGCTAACTAATCTTTAGTTATGATCTAATTTTGCCTAAAGATCTCGTATAGATGTTTCTCTATGTGAACAATTATTAAGAGCTTAAGAACCAAGTGTTCAAATATTGTCATCATTTAAAAGCCTGAAAAGTAAGTTTTTTGCGGATACATTGGGTCATGCAAATCAGTTATCCTTTTACGACTGGCTTTATTAGATATCATGTATTCATCTAGTATAGTTAGTGTTTCGGGAAATGTTCGATAGGTATGAGGCTCTAAAACTTGAAAACCTATGCTAATTGTATATGCACTTCTGAGATTAGGTTAGTTTAATTGTTCGAGCCAAATTATATTTATATCCTGGAGTTTAAATACCCTTCTTTGAATGCAAGTGTCCTTTTGTGTTTTTCCTGTTTACCATTAGTATTTGACCACTTCGGTTCCATACCACCGATCTCCTAGGAACGAAGGGCCTACCGTTACTCAGTTGGAACTTTTCAATGATATGCTTCTAGCTATTTTAACGAATAATCCGAATCTCACACCTATGCTTACCGACTATATTCTTAATGGTATGTTGAATTTTTTGCCTACCTTATAATGCCTTTCTTCCATTAACCAATCAGTAATTATTATTATATTTCATTCATAAGCGTATTGTATGTTTTTCATGAAGTCTTTAGATCTATATGAATTTAATTATCATTTATTAAGTCAGAGATAATATAATTTCAATTGTGAGATAGATATTCAGCAATGTTTTAGATTCTGGTGTTTGTTTCAGTAATAATACTCTATGGCTTTCTCATTAGACTTGTTCTTATTTATTTCACAATTTATTGAAAGAGATCGCGATCGATTCTTATTATACAGTTATTTATTAGTTTTGTTTATTAGTAGTTGGTTTGATATCAATTTTACGGGTATGTTTCTTGAACATAACGAAGAAGAAAACATATATTTTTAAACAGTCGATATCACTCATGCTTGGTTATAGATAAGAAAATATGTCTGCTTTATTTTTTGAACACAAGCTGATTTACAAATATTTATCTATGTCCATGTCCTTTGAATTTTAGTGAATGCTTTATTCAACCAATCATGTGTCGTTCTATTCAATTGTATTTCAATAAACTCATTTTCTGACATTTGTATTAAAATCACTGGCCAATCAACGTTTAAAATGAATAATATTGTAATTAGATACGGTATTGAGCAAAATAATACCAACATTTTACCTAAATTAGAGGCATATACAGGACTTAGAATTGTGCACAATGGTGGAGATGCATTCACTATTTCTCTTCCTTTAAAATCTAAGTTGCGAAATCTTCTTATGCCTAATATTTCGTTTTTCTGCTACCTTTACTCTGGCATTTTTCACGAAATTGTCTTATCTCTTTCTGTGATAATATGTTATGGCAACTCGAACTGATTAACTGTCAGGTCCTGCTTTCAGTATAATAATGATGTACGCATTGAAGAAGTTTTAAATGTCGATCAATATGATATGATTGGTTAAATAATCATAAATCTGTACTCGCTATTCGTGTAATAAAATATTTCATCCTTTGCGTTTTTCAAAATGTTAACGTGACTTTATTTCAGATTTGTCGGATAACACTAATCGCAAGATTTTTTTTAACCAAAATACAGTTTTATTATATCTTGTCCACTCATTTTTCACTTTGAAACAAAAGTTTATAATTTAATTATACGTTGGCCAGATATTCGTCCTCCAACCTTAGTAGTAGTATAATGGATTGTTATCTGCTGCGTTTCAGTGTTCGTAAAACATGATTCGCAACACTGGAAGATGTGTACTAAATGCAAGATTTTATTATAGGTATATTCGAAGCATTTTTTGTCTTTCGGCGAATGATCAGCGACATTCAAGTTAAGCATTTGGTGTTAGGAATAGGCGGCAAGTTGGTTGGTCTGCTTTCCATTGTTCTACTGAATACCATCATCAACACAAACTTCAGACTATCTTAACTGGTATAGGATTAAGTTAGATGACAGCTAGGGGCGACCAGACCAAAGCGTGATATCAGTTCATGGATCAATTGACTGTAAGTCTGAGCCATGTCGGTAAATGCAGACTACCTGATCAGGGCCGTCGAGGTAACTGTGGTCAGTGGTTAAAGATGCTGCTTGTCATGATTCAAAGACGATTACAGTCAAGTAAGTGCATTCATTCTTTATCTTCCTTTTGATCTTGAATTTCAGTATCGTTTAAAACACAATTTTTCTATCCTGTCTTCTCATACCATCTTCTAACTACTCAGTTTTCCTTATAATCATTGCCACTGTATTATTTTAATTTGTTTGCTATTCATTCTGTTAATTTCATCTCTCCGTGTTATTGCTGCATGATAACTTGGACCAACGCAGGTTTGTACAAGTTTCTATGCTTATTACAACCGACTCATTAACACTATAAAATAAGACGAGTTTTTGACGTTCATAAATTTTCTTGCTTATATACCTTAAAGTAGCGTATAAAATTATTGTAAGTAATATTGTACTACGTTTACACTGTTTAATAGTGTTCAGATGCAAATACTCTTAAGTAAATTAATGTTGAAAACCTTCATACCATTAATCAATTGATATTCAATACTAATTTGTTTTTTTAAGCTACCCATTAAGTAAATCATTAATTTCTTAACATTAAAACTTTTATAATTAATTTTCCTTCTTAAATTGATTTAGTTTACGCTCCGGCTGATCGACGCTTATCTAAACTTCCAATTTAAGCAACAACGAATTTTGATTTTCTACCATTATATCAATTCAACATCGAGTATAAGTCAATCATCTGGTCATTTGCTTTATATATTTTAATTAATCTGTTCTTTTTGTTTTGATATATATTATTATTATTATTATTATTATTTAGCTTTGAAAATTATTTTAATGTTTAGTTTGATTTTGCTGATTTCTTTTTTTTTTGCTTCTTATGCATTCGTGAATTTGTTTGTTATTTTCTTTTTATAACAAACACTCCGCTGTTTCATTAAATTTATTATTCTAGCTAAATTACTCTTTTATTAATTGAACTATTATTTTCGAATTGAATGCATACTTTTTGAAATGAGTATATGATAATTTCAAGGAAATTTTTTCGTTAGTTTAGTCATCATTATAATGCTTTACTATAATTAATTATCATAAATAGGCATATGTATCCTTTATCTAATTTATGTTTACTTGGTCATTTTAAATAGTCACATTATGCATTATCGACTCAACTATGTTATTTCATTTAAAGCCTATCACATTTTATCGCATATTTCCCTTGATCAATGTGCATACATACGACACATATATAATATCGATTTACATACATATATACATGATATTATTGTCTGAAATGAATAAAAACAAGTGATATCTTCTCATTAAACTAATTTTGTTTGTTAAATTACAGTTAGTTAAATAATTCTCGACATTTCTGTCGTTGCTTGAATCTCTCAATCAGCTTTTTTTTTCCTCGTCAGTACTACTTCTTCCTTTTATTTTTGTTACTATTCATTCATATATTTAAATTATTTGTCTATTCTCGTCAGAGTTTTGATTTTAATCAAAAGTTTCTAGTTTTTTAGTTTGTTTCTTCATATTCTTCACTATTACTTGCATTTAGATTTTGGCGGTTTAATTAACTGTTCATTTTTAAAAATGTTGCGAATTCATGTTATCTAGATCAAAACATACAATAAAAATTATTGTTGTCTAAAATGTTTTTTTTTAAAAGTAGTTCTTAACTGTAAGATTTTTCTAGCTAAAATTAATGAACTATAGCCTTATACAATAGCAACCATAGTGATACTACTCTCTTCATTCAATATCATATATTTAAATTAACTATTATATTCGTCTGCGATTATTTACTCTAAGTCTTTCTCTCACCATATCATTGTTGATGACCAAGTATATGTAGTGAATGAATTCAATGGTTATCAATCCATGTTTCACCAGACAAAGAAGCAAACATAAGAACCATCACGATGGTGCTTCTTGAGTTTTTTTAGTAATTCTGCTCATGATCGGCTCGAAACATTCCATAGGTGTGTGTGCGTATAAGCAATTAGCGAACATGATCAGTGAATTAGGAGAAATCTAAAACAAGAATAATAACAGTAAATACTGAACTTTAAAAAAACATTACAGTAGACTAAGGATTAGTCGTAAGCTTATTTCTTCATTTGTGTATATGGTAATTGTGATTATTGAAATTCTTTTCTTACCTTGTAATTGTTAGTAAACATTTTAAACAAAATTATAGAATCCTAATTAATCATAGAAAAACTGTTCTTTTAAGTCCAAGAGACGATTCATTTATAGTATTTTGATTATCACTGTAATTATTAGTGAGTTATAATAAGCGAAAAAACCTTTTAGTCTAAAGCTTTTAACAGAGAGATCTAACAAAATAATATCTTATTTGACTAAAAACTTATGCTCAAAATATATCATAGAACTCCATACGTAAGACTAGCTTATTCTGTCCAAGAACTTTCCAGCAGATTAGTTAAACACATAGGGGTTCTGTTTTGTCTAAAGCCTATTGTAATTAAAATAATTGGTCTTGTTTAACTGCATCGTTAGATAAGTTCATTCTTTTCCTAAGAATTATCTTTACTCATATTTTCAAGTAGGTAAATAATAAAACATAGATGACTCTAAGAAATAATATTTTGTTCTTCAGGAAAATTCTCTTTGAGTTCAAAAGTTAAACACCAAAACAAACAGCTGAATTAAAGCAAATGCTAAAACTACAGTACTTGTATTTGAAGTGATAAATGAAATAAGTTTCTTAATGTTGTTTGTTAAATAGTAGTAGTAAATGATTGTTATGTGATGTACAATTGAATCAAGGTCTGCTTAAAACAGAATGGCATGCTTGATAATTAGAATGAAAATAAGCACCACTAGTTAAAGGGAATATTCATGTTAATACCTATGTCAAATGTTTTATGAATGATGACGTATTTTCTGAAAATGATGTGGTATGATAAAGTGAGTGATAAAATAGTTGTTTAATTGTATGGGGACTGAATCGGGATCTGGATTAATATAAGAAGCGAATATGAACGCATCGAAAACTTTTTCTAGGTCGTTTGGTAGGTGCGATTGGAACATGGATGTGCTTCTGTAAGAGGATTATTAACTTAGCTAGGCACTACCTGCATGTCGTTATCTGGGCCAGTCAGCCCATGCAGAATGAATTGTAAGCATTATTATTTAGTTGACGGCATTAAAGTTTCCAAATTATAAAAGGTGCAGTAATTTAATTGAGTCATAGTTTATAGAATGTGCATTATGTTCGTTTCAACGTAGAACTTAGTACGTATGAATATTAGCTCAAATTCCCATACCTCAATTAGCATAGAGATAAAATTGTCAGGTAAAATCGAAAAGCAGTGGAAGCAGTAGTAGCGATGATTAGAGGTTGAAGATAAGATTCAAGAAAATATAAATCAGTGGAAAAATGATCATTTTAGACACTTGTAACTTGTGGGAGGACAGAGTGGATGAACTCGCCATTAGAAATGATTCTAAGTCATGTCATTCAAAGTCTATATGACTTAATCCATTTGTCACTGACTTCATGAACTGGTGCAAGTTGGTAAAAGCCAATCGAGCTTTCTGTATTCGTGCTGAGATTTCGTCAGTCACCTAGCTATCAGCACTGATGAGACTACCGAGATAACTCAGGTGGTCAACACACCTAACTATTCAACGCCTATCACTAGTTCGGGTGCCGACGCAACCCAATCTTGAAGAAAACTTTTGCATTTCGCGGGGTAGAATCGCATCCCAAACGTGCGTGCACTGTTTCTTAGGGCAGTCAGGAGACACTGCATTTTATCAGCATCTTCACCAAATAGAACTATGTCATCGGCATATTCTAAGTCAACAAACGAATCTCGTAGAATGTCCACCCCTGAAAAGTCAGACGATGAAAGTGTCGTCTTTACAAGCATGTTTATGACGAAGTTGAATAAGAATGGGGAAAGTGAACAGCCTTGACGGACACCACTTCAAGTAGTCAGCTCTGTTGAAAGTTCGCCATAATCTCTGAATGAACCAGTAGTGTTCGAGCAGATAGTTTGCACTAGGTTAATGTAATTCTTTATTACTCGTTTTAGTGACAGACGCTATCACAGAATCTCACGAGTCAAATGCCGCCTCAAGGTCGAGGAACACAACTATTGTCGGACGCCTAAATTTGTCTTTGTTTTAGGAACTGGTGTAGTGTGAATACGTCGTCCAAGTTTGAAACTAGACTGGTTTTCTCGCGTCTGCACTTCACGAGCTTTGGTTAGGCGTCTAAGTATTACCGAGGCTAACAACTTAGACACTGTTAGTTAAAATGATCCTCTGTGATTGTCATAACAGGACTTTTGTCCTTTATTATAAATTGGGACAACCAGCGATTGAGACCAGCTGGATTCTACCTAGGATCTCAGTCAATCTAACTGCTAAAACTGCATCACTATCCTAAGAATTTCAAGGATTAATCTATCAGGGTCTGTTGTTTCTCCCTCGCTCAAACTTATTAACCTCATTAGGAGTCTGAGAATTATATCAATTCGGCATTCAGGTTGATTGGAGATCATGGGTAACTGAAGTGGGGTTGAAGAATAGTTGGACAGTTTCCTAAATTCTTCTGTCCATCGATCCAATCTCCTAGACTGAGAGTGAGTAGTATTCTCGTCTCTTCCTGAGATGAATTCACTGACAGCTGAATTCCTAATTTACTTTCCATCAATAGGTTTGAATAACTGTCTGCTGTGACCTACTACTGTTACCTTTCCCGTCTCTTGCAGATGAGAAAGATGGTGAGTCCTACCATTTGCTCTATAATGAGCAACAGCCTTCTATTGAGTCTATCTATTGGTGGCTAATAGCAGTGTAATATGCTTGAATCCAGAGCTGAGTCGGTTGTGCAGGTCGCTATGTTAATCTCTGTTTTTCATTATTCTTAGAGTTGGTGCGTGCAAGAAATGGACAGTTATTTGAACACAGATGCAGCGAACGGTCACTATTATCTGTCCTTTGAACCGTGACACCATTAGATTCGTTCAGGTGTCTTCCAGTTTCATATAGTCTTGCTCGTTGTGCATTAAAGTCATCAGCCACTGTTACCAGATCAGAGTGCTTAGCTTTTTGAAGGACGGTCGAAAGCTTCCCGTAAAATTCGTCTTTTACATCATCTGAACTGTAATCAGTGGGAGCGTAGGCAGAGACATCATAGAGGCAGTGGAAAATGTCCCTATCTTTCCGAATTCTTAATGTTCCGTCCGATTGATCAGCACATAAGCGATTATCTATTGGAATTCAATCTAAGAGAGCTAGTTCTACCTTAGATTTCAATGCTTAATCTACACCGACGAGACCACAGTTAGTGGCAGCTAGGCTTCCAGATACACGAAGAGTCAATTGCGACGGCTCTTTATCTTGACAAGGTGTGTTCAAATGAATTATTCTACTCGGATTTTGTATGCGCTTTTCGGAGGTAGCAGATATTTGAGGCTAGAGGTTCTGGAGTCCTAGCTAAGGAGGCTTGTTGTCCTATTCGGCACAAGGTCCGGGCATAAAAAGCTCCAACATGTGGTTTAGAATGGGGTATTAGGAGACCAAGAACAACGTTTCAGGAGCTCAAATCGTTTACATTAACGGTGCAGGGTGATAAAAGGATGAGAGAAAGGTTAGTTGTGGGGATAGGAGGGGTGTAAGGGGGAGTAGGAAAGATTTGATAATGACCGATTCGGTCCCGTGTGCTGTTACGGGTATCAGGGCGAACATAAATTCCCGGCTTCCCACATCGCGGAAAGGTGCTTCTTGAAGAACAAGGAAGTGGAGCTGGATTAGCCTTAGCCTTAACGACCTGGAAGTATGACCGCAGAGCCCAAGAGACGACTGCTTAAGGCCGGTCACGCACGGCATTTTAATAGGAGATTTTAAAGTAATAGCGCCGCTCCTCAAGTCGCCTTACTGCCGGAGAAGGAAATCCTTGAGGGAAGGTGAGGTTTGACAATTTTAGGGCCAACCTTTTCTAACCCTTCCCTTCCTTGTTAGAAGACAGCATCTTTACAGATGCTGGTTATCGGAGGGAATTACCTCACTTCTGTCATATCCTTCAATAGTCAGTGGTATGACTTGCCGCTCAAACCACAAGTTGCTGCCTGTAATGTTACCGCTGTGCAACCAACCTACCTGGCATAGTAGGACCTAAAAGGAACGTATGTTTGTGTTGGTGTTTCGTTCTCTGAGCTGGATGTTTTGGTTGTGAAGGTTTCATTGTTCGTCTGAACAACGAGGAATAACATCTTATGACTTTCTTCCAAAAGAACGGCTATACACGCAACTTAGTCAATAAACATCAACCGAAATTGTCAACTGAAGCGAATTCAAGTACAAGAACCAATAAATAGATCATCCTACCATACATAAAAGACATACAGAACATACAGCCATTTGGAATAGGTGTGGCACACAAACCAACAGAATCACTCCAATCAATCCTATGTAGACCAAAGGACAAAATGACAAAGGAAGAAAAACTATCATCTACAAAATTAATTGCTCGGACTGTGAAAAACACTAGATAGGACAAAGTGGACGGCCTCTTCAGCTTCGTTTACGTGAACACCAATTAGCCGTCAAACGCTAAGACAGTTCTTCTCTTATATCAATACACACCGACAATTATGGACATACATTCGATCGGA